ACCCTTTTAGTGGCTAGGGCCAACCAGCAGGCCAAAAGTTTATTACACAGTTCTATAACCTAAGAATAGCTCAACCAGTTTGCATTGAGGTCCCTGTAGTTAACTTCATAAAAAGTTGATCCTATGTCATCTTGTAATTATTGACATGAACTGTTCACAAATTCTCAAGTACACCGATCAGGCATAACATTATGACCACCTCCTATTTTCTACGCTCATTGTCCATTTTATCAGCTCCACTTACTATATAGGTGCACTTTGTAGTTCTACAATTACAGACTGTGGTCCATCTGTGTCTCTGCATACTCATAACCCCCTTTTACCCTGTTCTTCAGTGGTCAGGAGCCCCATGGACCCTCACAGAGCAGGTACTATTTGGGTGGTGGATCATTCTCAGCACTGCAGTAACACTGATATGGTGGTGGTGTGTTAGTGTGTGTTGCGCTGGTCTGAGTGGATCAGACACAGCAGTGCTGCTGGAGTTTTTAAACACTGTGCCCACTCACTGTCCACTCTATTTGACACTCCTACATTGTCAGTCCACCTTGTAGATGTGAAGTCAGAGACGATAGCTCATCTGCTGCTGCACAGTTTGTGTTGGTCATCCTCTAGTCCTTCATCAGTGGTCACAGGACGCTGTTGGCTGGATATCATTCTCAGCACTACAGTAACACTGATGTGGTGGTGTGTTAGTGTGTGTTGTGCTGAGTGACCACTGATGAAGGACTAGAGGATGACCAACACAAACAGGTGCAGCAGCAGATGAGATATCGTCCCTGACTTCACATCAAGGTGGATTGATAAGGTAGGAGTGTCTAATAGAGTGGACAGTGAGTGGACACTGTGTTTAAAAACTCCAGCAGCACTGCTGAGTCTGATTCACTCAGACCAGCGCAACACACGCTAACACACCACCACGTCAGTGTTACTGCAGTGATCCACCACCCAAATAATACCTGCTCTGTGAGGGTCCATGGGGGTCCTGACCACTGAAGAACAGGGTAAAAGGGGGTTAAGAGTATGCAGAGACACAGATGGACCACAGTCTGTAATTGTAGAACTACAAAGTGCACCTATATAGTAAGTGGAGCTGATAAAATGGACAATGAGCATAGAAACAAGGAGGTGGTCATAATGTTATGCCTGATTGGTGTATGTATGTGTTATGTCTCTGTATAAGCAAATGGCAGTAACCGTCTCATTAACACATTAGCCAGTGTTAGAAATGAGAAATGTTGCACTAAACTGGGTTTTCAAACAAAAGTTGCAGATTTTATAGGTTGATGAAAATTCTTCCATATACATGACATGTTAAGAGGATTTGAGTAACAGCTGTTCGTATCGTACATTAAAAGAACAAGTGTGTGGCATTTTGAGCTTCTTACAGCTAGAGCACAATGCATGCTTTTGCTTTACTAAAGGACGAATGCCAACGTTAGATTAGTATCTCTTTAACCTGCCTGCACTGGCTGTCCTTGACATTGACAAGCAAACCGTGCATGTGTGGAAGGACAGGGTGGAGATATAAAAGGCAACAGATATGTAGGCCAGAAATCGACTGGTGGATACAGCAATAGCCATTTAGCTGCTGTCACCTAGAGAGAATTCCGCGAGTGTAATTGCTTTTTTACCTTGGACGGCCTCTTAAGCGGAAACCTTTTAAAAAGTGAATTAGCACATGCTGAAATGGCCTACTTTGGGAAGTTAAAGAGGAGCATCTCACCGCATTCCCACCGGGCATCTGTTGCTTCGAAGGTGCAGCTACCCATGTGCGGGAAAAGAGTGAGAATGATTTCCTAAAGGCAATTTTATGGACATCAGTTCAAATTATCTTAAACACAGACACAGTCCAGGTATCTCAATAATAAATCTAAAGGATTGTAAGAAGTCATTGCAATGCACTCCTGTGAGAAATACTCATGTTTTCTTTGTGAGGTGTTAAAAAAATTAATGTTAATTGACTCATTAGAACTTTTGGTTCATTAGAACTTAAAGGGGAAGGGTGGAAGATCTGGAAGACCAATAAAACTGCAACCTCAACACAAAAGTCAACATCTGAGGTATGCAAAACAACATCTAGATAACCTAGAGGCATTTTGGAAACAAGTACTGTGGACCAATGCATTAAAAATGGACCTCTTCGGCCACAATCAACAAAAGTATATTTAGAGAAAAAAGGAGCAGCATTTGATGACAAGAACACCTTACCAACTGTTAAGCATAGGGGGTGGACCATTTATGCTTTGTGTTTACTGTAAGTCTAAAAAGTAGAAAATAGTACAAAGGTAATGTACTAATGAGTGGATGTACTTTTTTTGCATTTTTTTCATGTACTAATGTGTAGTAAATCAGGGCCTTTTTGTATAGTTCTTGCTGTAGCTGAAAAGACATTTAAATGTCAGATCCTGAAAATATCTTGAACATTTTGATTATTTGCCATTTTGTGACTCATCAGTGATGAAGCTGGGCACTTTTAAATTCAGAGCCAACCAAGCTGTTCATCAATATGAGCAATTGTATCTGAAGACCAGTATAGCAGGTGCTTAAATGCCTAGAAGGTTTGGTGTCTGCTGTGGAGAGCTCAGTGTCCTGTATGGGACCTGGGCAGAAATACTACAGCAACAGAAGTTTGCCTTAGGGCTTCCAGAACCCAGCACTCCTGATCTAGTTTCAGTGTCCTTTTACCAAAAAAAAACAAAGCCCATTTGAACCACATCAAAAAGAAATATTCAAAATGGCTAAAGGGAATGTGAAATCAGCATCTTTAGATCCTTTTTTGGGTCATGAAAGAGTAGGTGTGCAGTGTAGAATAATCACATCTCTCATTAAAAGCATTTTCAGACTTGGACCATTTTGGTGAGGTTTTGTGCACGCTGTGAACAGGCCTGACCATCCACCAGACAAAATCAGTTTGCTTGACAGGTTACTTTGGATATCGGTACTTTGCTATGTCATTGTGAGAATGTCAAATGGAATTCAGTGGCTGAGCTGGAGTCGTTTAGCAGATTTCATAACCATTTCACAGAGAGATATAGGGCACAATTCCAAAATATACATTGTAAAGCTGATAGTTCCAGTCCTAAAACCTGATTGGCTGAGACACATGTGAAGCGGCAAAAGAAAAAAAAGCGTGATATATGCACATCTATGATCACCTCATAACAACATAACATCATAATGTTCTAAGTCACTAAACCCATTGTGTAGCATATTGTAAACAAATTGCATTTATTGGTGAATAATCTTTTGTTGCAAATATTATTAATTAGCACTTAAAACATTTATTTAAAATGTATGTGTTAAACCACTTGAGGCCATGCGGTACAGTGATTTTACCATGATCTTACTCCACTTCATGTTGTGTCTAAGAACAATCGGCAAGGCGATATGGTTGTGTAATCAGATAACGTTGATGATTGACAAATAACCCAATGACAATGCGTACAAGGTGATAATCGCCAGAGAACCAGAGAGGTGAACTGGATATTTACTTAGAGCAGCTGGCTCTAACCTGAAGAGAAAGTTCTTTTGATTCCCGTCTATGGCCTATGAAACACATTATCTTATTGGTCCAATTTTTCATGCACAGCATTGGGTTCGAGTTGAGTTTGTTTTCCAGTGAGCGATTTTTTTTATGTAGTAGATTTGCCCTTTTTACCAAAATTTTACCAAAAATCTCTCTATATCTCGCGTATGCACTCTTGGACTCCTGTGTCCCTGAACAAAACCATGGATGATGAGATGGATGTGCAGATGAGCTGGAGTGAAACTTGTGACCGGTCAGGGCTGGTTAAAAAAATTGTTGGGGCCATAGCGACGCCCCAGATGGAGATAAGTTGTCATTGCCTGAAAAGGTTTGAAGAAACTGAACACAGCATACAATGCATACCAATTTTTTCCCCCTTTTGGGAACAGTGCTCCAGTTTGGTTGTGAGCCCGAAACTATCATTTCTCAATTAATAGGCCAAATATAGAGCAGTTAGCAGTGGGAAAATTACACTTGGTTATTTTCCCACAGTGAAATGAGGGATCTTTCCAGATAATACATGTTTGTTCACCATTTTTTCTTAATGACCTAGTGGATTTCTTTTCTATCAACAATTAAATATCACACATAGAATAACAGACTACAGGTAAATCAGATGCTTTTGTATCCTGTGTCTAATATGTGAATATACACTACTGTGTAAATGTCTTCAAAGAAAATGAAATGTAAAGCTATTTATAAGAGCAGTAAGTGTTTGTTAAAAAAACATTAATATTAGAATAACGTTAAACCCTGTCAAGTAGTAGACCTCTAAAATGTTTCTCATATTACAAGGTCAGAATGGGTTATTTTTTGCGTTTCATGGTATCAGTCAAATAGATTTAAAGAGATGAATAAATTGTTTCTGTCTCAGTAGATGTTAGAGAGGAGATGTTAAGAAGGGATGGTTGATGTGGAGAGAGGGGAAATGTAAAGAGGTCTTTAAAAATGGCATTATTCTGGAAGCATCTCTGTTTTCTTTTACAAGCAGTGTTTTCACTCATCCTTTCATTTTCTTAAATGATTTTGTTTACAAGACACGTCAGTGATCAAATCAATTGAATTCCTGCTAAATTTGTTGATGTGTAAATCCTCACATTTAATAAAAAGGTTTCAGAATACCCCAGAACATTCTTATAGTGAATTGGGCTGAGCCCCAGATCTATACATGCCCAGCCAACGCCTCAAGTACTTGGCTGAAATATTACCTTTTTTAATAGTTTCAGAGTGGAGTAGCACAAGTGATGCCTTATTATGAAAGGGGAAGAATAAGTGAGTAAATCTCAGGCTACTGTCTGAGATGATTAACAAGTTTATAAACTACATATGTGAAGTAAAGAAAGCCATTGTGATGAATTTATCTCAGTTTGAGCTTTAATTTTCTCTGTATCAGTGATTGCACATTACTCAGAGAAGGGATTTTGAGATGTTTTTGTCTTCTGTTGTTTTCATACATATTGTGTCCTCTTTGCAGGTATCTTGTCTTCCTGCAGCTCAAGAGAGATCTGTACCACGGCCGGCTCCTCTGCAAGACGTCTGATGCAGCCACACTGGCAGCTTATATCTTACAGGGTAAGTTTAGGGTAGTGTGATATCACAGTGCTCAATGCCAAACCAATACTATGACAAAAATATCTAAACACTTTGAACATTGAACATTGAATGCTTATTGGATTAAACACAGAAAACAATCAAGTTGTTGCAGATTAGTGTCATCTTTAAAATCTTTTATCAGATTTTTATAAATATATTGAAGATATCAAAGAACTAAATAATTTAAATATGGCCTCATTCTGAATGGAGGTTTACCAACAAAATGTCCACACAATATTTTTGGAATTTATCATTCAGTGTTTCAAACAAATACAAAATTGTTTGCACTTAGAGCTGGGTATCAAAATTCTTTCCTTTTATTTCACCAGCCAGATTACTTTAATACTAGCAAGTATTGAAAAATGTCATTTAATACCAAATTTCTGTATCTAAGAAGCCAGTCTTAGTGTCAGTGAGATGCTAATAGACTGCTAATTGACCTTTTAAATTACGTTCTGTCTGCATGTTATTAACGTCAGCACTTCTTGATTAACACACACATGCGCACACCCCTAACAACCACCACAGATCACCGATCATGACCTAGTAGTCTGCAATCCATTATAGTCAGCACCTTAAACTCATTTCACTATCTCACTATGCATTTGCATACACAACTATGACGTGAACATTTTTCCAAAAAGGGAACCAGCACATGAGCTGCTTTCAGGTGTTTTGATGGAAATGTTGTATAACAGCAGAAAATAGCAGGCTTCATTGGAGGAGATGAGTGAGAAATTAAAAATGAATGTATAAAATTGTCTATAAAACATGCTCCCAGTGTGAATAATACTTATTTCACTACTGCTTATTTTACTACTGCTACTATCAACACAGTGATAATATGTTTTCTTTACAGATAACAGTGGAGATATACATTACTGTGAAAAAGTCACAGACCACCCTTATTTCATTTTTTCAGGAGATATTTCCGAGGAGATTAGATATAAGATAATACACTTGCATAAAGATTACTGTGGAATGCTTCCCCAATGTGCTCATCAGAACAGTGGGTTAACAGCACACTAGGGGGCGACACTATGGTGTCACCAAGGCTAATTCTGAGCTGTGGCCAGAACAGGTATAGAAAAAGTATATAATATTTTGATACCCAGCTCTAGGTGTATTTTATTTTGTTTTTAATAAATAGTTGACAGTATTAAAAGCTGTTGAAAAAGCACTGAACTTTTTACATACTGTCATATGCAGAAAAATACAATATTTAAATTTATTGACCATAGAAAATGTGTCATTGTCACTTAGGAAATCAACAAAACATGCAATTTAACTGGGAGCGTTCAAACATTTGCATGCAACACTAATAAGGTGGAAAGGAAATCTCTGCTGGCCTTGATTTTGTTTATTATTTCTGCATCAAAGCCACACAGACTTTCAGAGCTAAGGAAACCCCACAAAGAGTCTTAACTTTTGGGCATTATAAAAGAGATCCTCTGCAACTGATATGAGGTGCTGGTTATCACCTGTATATGTAATAAGCCCTCAAACGTTGAAGATATCTTCTTTGCAGAGATAAAATTTTGGTGGTTGATAAAAAGACACAAAATCCCTGTGCATTCTACAGCGTCTAAGACTTGAGCACCAGTGCTGTGGGGAGAAGCAGAGCCGTCTTTTTGTGATCAGAAGCATGATAAACTCTGGTATCTTGTACGAATAAATCTTTCAGCGCTCGCGTGGCGCTGGAACTGAGGCCAAGCGAAAGCCCGGACGTTCGTGGTGGAAGTTGCCTGCAGAGATTTGCGAGCTTCAGTAGGTTGAAGAGAGAAAGTGAGGCACCTAAAAGTGCAAGACTAAGGGGAGAGTGGATCTTTTGACAGGCTGATCCGAGGGCTGTTTTAGAAGGGCCTTTTTGAATTAAACATGCGCTGCTTTGTCACCTCAGCACAGGCAAGACTTCATCAAGGAGGCTGCAGCAAAGCCTTCTTTAACCCAGAGAGACATACAGAACAGCGTCAGTACACTGTAAAGCCCACACATGCTATGTGGATGACAGGTGCTCTACATGTAGTCCACATGTGGAAAACACACATGCTGCTGTATTCCATTAGGATGAACTTAGGATGATGATCTGTGCAGCAAAGCGTGAACGTAAACTATTCCCTTAAGAGCAGTATGATTGCATGATAAAAGATTCACTGAGTATGGAAAAGTGATGTCTTGATGTGCAATGTTTGACTGCATTCTTAACCATCCTTGTGGCTGATTTCTGCAGCTGAGATTGGAGACTACGACCCAGGGAAGCATCCTGAAGGCTACAGCTCCAAATTCCAATTCTTCCCCAAGCATTCTGAGAAACTGGAGCGAAGGATTGCAGAGATCCACAAGACGGAGCTGATGTAAGATCGCTCAGTGTTCTCTCTCTGTCTATAAAAAAGTGTTCAGAGACTGCTGAATTTTCAAAACAATGGCTCAAAATTTTCACCTTACCCAAATGTAGAAAATCGCCCAAAACGTGTTTAATGTCTGAAGTTTGCACTGGAGTAATGAAGCTAATGTTGGTACAAGTAATGGAAGCTTGTAGCCAGCATTGCCAAAACTGCATTCACTTGGTAAGTATTCTAAAATAGGCTTGCTTTTCTGGCACTGTGACATACACTAACCTTCAAAAGTTTGGGATCAGTGTTTCCAGTGTTACAGTGTGCTGTACATTTTCAGAAGTTTAAATATTTAGAAATATTTGGTAGGAAAGAAGTAGGCCTGGGCAATGTCTAAAAATAATTAGCACTATATTGTCTAGTAAAAAAACTGTGTCACCTATATCGCCCCCACCCAAATAACACCCAAGTAAAACTTGTTTTACATTAAACTTGTTGTTTTAATAGTTGTTATAGTTGTTACTGTGTTGATCAGCTTCTTCTGGTCTAGATTCAGGGTGACTTGTGTGCTATAAGTCTTCCCTGCTGGAAGAACTTAAGCCCATATGCCCATCACGGGTGGTTGAACTTCACTGCAGACTCCTATAAATAGAAAATTACAGTACATTATTCCTCCTTGAATATCCTTGTTGTTGCCAAAATACTTGAAATATTGAAAGCAACAACTCAAAGTACCCCTTATTGTCTAGTTTATAATTTAAATCTGCATTGTATCCATTGTTATTGTATATAAAAAAACATGAGTCTTCAATAAAAAAAAGATTCCAAAGTAGTGACTACTGAATACTGGACTACTGCTACTATTTTTAGATAATGATGTAATGTCTATTTTTTATAGGTAACAGTGTGTCACACAGTGTCAGAATCACTAAAGCAAGTCTTTTTGAGATTAGGATGACATGGTTTGAGGCAAGTGAGGATTTAGGTAGGCAGTTTGCACAATGCAAAACTGGTGACTATAAACTTTCACTACTTTTTAACTGCATTAGCTTCATGCAGAGCTAAAGAAGCAAACTTCAGAGGCCAAATATGTCTCAGCAGATTGACTACTTTTGAGATAAGGGAGAAAACTTGTGCACATTTTTGGCTGAACCATGGCTTTATGCCATGGCTCTGGCATCTCTCTCTCTCTCTCCCCCTCCTAATCTGCTTGTTTACTCTATCTCTTGTTCAGTTGCTCAGTTACTTTCTCTCTCACTCGCTCTCTAACCTTTTCTTGTACACAGTGAGCTGTATTATTCAGTGTTCTTTGAGGGTGCTGATCTAGGAGCCGTTCCATGTGTACACAGTGCATCATCCTTTTAACCGGATCATATAAAAAAGTGGAAGCTAAGGCCAGATCAGCACTCTTGCTTTTGCATTTGCTAGTGTAGTATAAATGTAGACCACATGTTTCTTTCAGGATTTCAGTATGTGAGAGTTCTGTTTGACTTTAACCCTTATCTCAGGCATCTGAGTCTGCTGTCACACTGAAGGAACAGCTTGAGGGCTTTATTTACCTCTGGAAATTAGACTGCACTTGAGCTGTATGGACCAAAGTGATATAAAAAATTATGTTTTAGGCTTTTTTATTGTTCATGAACAGCAGAGTTACATTGCTGTTTTGGCTCATGATGAATCACACATGGTAAACAAATCAACCAAAATCATATTCAAGAATTTTATTATAGTAGTCATGTTAATTAAAAAGTATATATAATAAAAAAAATAAAAAAGTTATATATTTATATATATATATATATATATATTTATATATATATATATATATATATATATATATATATATATATAATAAATTATTTTTATATCTTAATTTTGGGTGGTTGAAATTAACAACCTGCAATATAAGGTTTCATATGAGGCAGGTTTTGTATTGTTTAAATACAATTGTTATAAATTAGAAGTTCAGGCTTAAGCCTAATGTTTAGATAATGGAAAGAGTTTTGGCTTTAAAGTTAGGGCTTTAACCAAGTAAACGTATACAATGAAGATGAGGTGTTGATTTGTGCAGTGTTTGGAACTACAGCTGGTGCACTAATAGATGGAACCAAGCCAAACCAAATTTAACCAAATTTATTACCTGCCCAAGAGTCAAATAATCAAACATTAGCAAAACAGTGAAGTAATAATTCATAGAAAGCCAAAAAGCAACAAAAGAAAGGCAAAGCACCTGAAAAATATGCAGATGCTATGCGTGGCAGTGCATGATTGATTGCCTGCAGTCATTAAATAGCAATGCAGGCCTTTTATGTCCTTAAGCAAGTTTAAAACTAAACTGTTCTTTTAGTAGCCTGTGATGATCAGACTCACCTCTGAAGGAGAGCACTGATTTGTATTCAGGCACAGAGATCAGTGTGGTGCAATAATCTGTAAACCTTACTGGGAAAACCCAAACGTCTCTAGCTAAATCACCATATTGCTCAGTGTGAAATATGCAGCAAAACAAGACCAAACATAACAGAGAACCTCACTGAAAAACAAAATAACAGATGATAATTTTAATTCATTGACATTCTAAATGTTTCAGGGCATGCACTTTCAGCTGTGAGCATCTGCTTTTCCCAGAGATTAAGGTGTGGTCTTTGGTGCACTCCAATGGTTTGAAAGTCGTAAACAGTAATAAAGCCAGTTCATCTGAGTTTCTGCCACTCACATTAAATTCAGTACAAACAAAAACATCAGAACACATTAGTTTGCTGTGAAGAGCCTTAGCTATTGATGTGCGGTTTGGCTGGAGATTAAGACGAAATCTGTGGTTGATCTGCACTGCAGTTCGGTTCTGAGGAAATAAAAATGAGACTGTTTAAAGAAAAAGACAGCAGTAAATAAGACAAGATTTATTGGTGGACTGTCATTTAGCAGGTGCTTTGGATGCCTGTTGTCTTGTGTTCAGTCTTTTAGTTTTTTTCTCTTCCTCTCTCTTTTTTCCTAAAGTGATGGGTCACTATGTACAGTGCGTTCAGGACGTTTTCACACCCCGTTTTCCTCCTTTTGTTACATTACAGCTTTCATGATTTAAAGTCTTTTTTTTTGAGTGAGCTGACGTGCCTTTGACTGAGGAATTTCATGTGGCCACCCTACCATAAAGTTGAGTGGTGAACTGCTGAAAAGATGATGACGTCAGAGTGGCCTTCAGGTTCAAAACGTATTCCATTTAAGAAAGATGGAAGCCACTGTGTTCTTCAGTACATTCAAAGTTACTGAGTTTGTTCAGTACCCTTCCCTAGATCTGTGCCTCAATGCAGTCCTATCTTGGAGGTCTATGGATAATTCCTTTGACTTCATTGCTTGTTTTTTGCTCTGACATGCAATGTCAACTGTGGGGCTTTATATAGACAAAAGTGTACCTCTCCAAACCTGAATTTACCACATTGAATTTTACGTTGGTCAGTTCTAGGAATGTCTTAAGAAGAGGAATTGGATGCTCCTGAGCTGAATTTCAAGTTCCAGTTTATTCTTTTTTATTAAGGAGTATCTCTTGAGATTTAGCAGTGAAAAACTCAAGGTAAAAACCATAAAGAGAAAAAACATAAATGTATCTGTATACTTTCTGAATGCACTCACTGTAAATGCAATGATGTAATAAATGGCACCATAGCAAAATGAAAAACCGTTTATCTGGACCTTGAAATGTTTTTACTTATAAAAACGCAACATTAGATTAAATGCAAATAAATGTTAATGCAAGAATTTCTTCTCTTCAAAAAAGAAGTTAGCTTGTGAGCTAGCTTGAAGACGTATTCATTAGCAACTAGGTAGGATCACTACAAATAAAAATGGGCTGTGATGAGTTGAGAGTCAGAAATTATTCTATTTTAATGTAGTGTATGTAGTATTAGTGCACTGATCAGATAAAAAGCTTTACATAGGATTTTCTATGGTGCCCATGATTATTACACAGTACTATCCATCCATCCATCATCTAAACCACTTATCCTTCTGGGTCGCGGTGGGGTGCTGGAGCCTATCCCAGCTGTCATTGGGCAGAAGGCAGGATACACCCTGGACAGGTCGCCAGTCCATCGCAGGGCAGACAGACAGACATACACATTCACACCTAGGGTGTGTCCAATCAGCCTGACTGCATGTTTTTGGACTGTGGGAGGAAACCCACGCAGACACGGGGAGAACATGCAAACTCCACACAGAAATAACCCAGGTCACCCGGCCGGGAATCGAACCCAGGCCATTCTTGCTGTGAGGCGACAGCGCTACCCACTGCGCCACCGTGCCGCCCTTACACAGTACTATATATATTTAAAAAGACTTTTTAACTCAAAAAAACCTTAGGATCAGCTGTGCCTTACCTTCATCAATTGATTGATGGGTTGGTTCATTGATTCCTTTACTAATTGGAAATTTTGTCACTATGTAGATGAGACCAAACCACAGCAAGACAAATTCAATGCATTAGCACAGTGAACACACCACACTCCACACAGCACAAGCCCTCATTGACTATTGATCACTGACAGAAAGCATGAATGAACTCATGAATGAATATAAGTGCTGTATTGAGTGTGCTCTGGAGGGCCACTGGGAACATTGTTAATTCCATCATACATGACTGCAAAGCAAAATTATTTTTGATGGATTTGTACTATATTAGGAAGGTAATTCATTAATCATTTTTATCCAGCAGTAGGCTCACAGTTATGAAAAAGGATTATGAGGTAGTAGGATGAAACCCTGAACCGATCTACTGGATAGACATGCATTTCACTAAGCTTTCTGCTGATATGGCTTTATGGTGTTTCAGGTATATTCATCTTTTTTAAGTTGATTTATTTTGATTTTGTGCGTGGAAAGAATAGGGCAAGTGAAATGCATGGAGGCAAGAAGAAAGGCACAGCATCACATAGCATGGATACAAAGAAGGCTTACATGATACGGACAAAAATGTTAGTATTGTGATTGTATTGCTGTATGTTGAAATGGCAAAATGCCTTGCAATATTGGAAAATTTCACTGGTGAGTCAGTAACGTGACGGATAAAGACTGCCCTACAAAATAATTACATGAATAAATTAATGATCAGAACACTCATGTGGAACTGTAGTTGTTCAAAATCTTCAAAGCAAACAATTGCTCATTTGTGTAGTGCAGACTTCTGTATTAGTATTGTAAAAGGTAATATCGCAATAATGATTAACAAACAATATATTGTAGAACCCTAATACAAAGGCATGAGCGAAACACTAGGGACATAGACGGTCAAGAAAAGAAGTAACACCAAGCTGCGAAATTGGAGCCCCTGAATGTCTCAGAATCAAAATTCTGGGGGGATCCCTGAAAATGAAGTTATGATGTAAAAGACGTTCTAATACTAATTCAAGGAAAGGTCACTGTTTTGCCTGCTTCACCCAAAAAACGGCAAACTTCAGTCTTGGTCTGCCTCAGGGTGGCGCTGTAGCAAATTGGTCTACCCAGTTGGTCTTTCATAGCCTAGTAACTGTTACTATGCCTAGGATACCTCTGATAAAATTTACAATTTGCTGCAGCATATTTGTAAATCTGACAATTTGCCCAATTTCCCAACAGTGTGGTGAAAAGAGTCAATTGTAACTCATTTCACAGACTGAAGACAAAAAACAAAGAGGATCTCAATTAATGTGTAGAAGAGCGCATTACCAAAACAAAGAGCATTTCCAAAAGAGAAAGTAAACCAAACATTTTGTCACTATTAAAGCTAGTACCAGCGCTGCTATGCCAAGTTAGTCAGCCGGCAGCCAACGCTGGAGTAGCCAGCCAACGCTGGAGTAGCCAGCCCCCCCCCCAATACTTAGGGGTATTTTGCACACTGGGAAACACTTTACTTCAACTCTGCTACATAACATTGACATAACCATACCATAAATGTCATGGCAGATGTCATATACTGACATGAGTTATCATCACGATTTTCGTTCAGTTACATAAGTGTCATGTTACCATTACCAATTGTTATGGCAGATGTCATAATGTTTGATGTCATGATGACTAACTTGAGTACACTTAACGTAGCGATCAAACATCAAATATTGTGGCATCTGTCATGAGAGTTATCGGTAATGGTAACATGACACTGTTTATAGCAAGGACATGTTTATGGCATGGTTATTTTAATGTTATGTAGCAGGGTAAAGTACGTAAGTAAAGTGTTACCAGAAAATCTCTGGAAATTAAACATTGTGGGTAATACTTAATTTAAACCCTCGTGCATAACACTGACATAACAATACCATTAATGTTTCATGGCAGGTGTCATAGCAGATTATGTCCAATAATATAACAGTGTCATGCTACCATAACCATTAATTGTCATGACATGTCATGTTTGATGTCATGATTACTAACTAGGGTACACAGCAGAAATTGGAATCATGACAATTATTGTTAATAATAACATGACACTGTTATATTATTGGACATAATCTGTCATGACACTTGCCAGCATATGAAATCTGCCATGACATTTTTATGGTATGGTTATGTCAGTGTTATGTTGCAGAGTTCAAAAGAGTTACCACATTACCTCAGCTGGTTACAGTGACCCTTGACCCCTGGACTTCCATCAGTGGAGTGTCTGCTGTTTAAGTATAGTTGGAGGCCAGATAAGACAGCAGAGAGATAAGAGAGCATAAAGGTAGGCTGTCAGTTAAAGCTGATATGTAATTCCTGTGTGCACTGCTGCCCTCTGGTGGCTTTTCTGTTCACCAACAGGAATGCTAATGATGAAACTGTCCTGTCCTGAAACTGCTTGGAACAGAGAGAGAGGTTCTTTCAGATGCTTCAGTAATAAGATCCCGTCTAAAGGTGGCTGGGGAGTAATGGTAGAGTGTTGCTTTTATCTTTTGATTTATGCACAGCCACAAGACACAAGCTCTCATTGCATTAAGGTAGTGAATGTTGAATGGTCCCTGCTGAATAAGAGATGAATCAGTAAGCAGATCCTGGATCGATGATACTTGAACTGTCTGTCTGGTTAATAATGTTTTTTTAGATTTATTTATAGCTGTCGACACCAGTATGAATATCAGTACAATTAAGCCTTACAACAAACAATTTTCATACATGTTAATATTTAGGTTTGATACATGTTAGAGCTTCAATATTTTGGTATTAACATTGGTTTCACACTAAGAACTATCTTCTCAATTTTGTGCTTTTATTCTGATATCATTTTGTTGTGCTGTACCCAGTTCCTGATGATGAAATTCTTCTACAGGGGGCAGACTCCAGAAACTTCCGAGCTTAACTTCCTGCAGAAAGCACAGATGCTGGAGACATATGGTGTAGACCCTCATCCATGCAAGGTTAGATGCTCTTCCATTCATTTAACTCTGTCTTGTCTTGGGTCTCTTTTATCTACAACAAAATTATCTCTTCTTGCATGCCTTTGAGTTTGTTTAACCCTTTAAAATTCCAGGTCTAGTTCATAGTAAGGCTTATTCGGCCCTGGTCTTTTAAGAGATTAAATAGTTTGATGAAAAATGTAATTTACTAAACTTTCCTCTTATTCCAAATATAGCTAATGTGCCAAGACATGTTTGATGGTCCTCTTTAGTTTTGCACTGGGGCTATGAGGCTAATATAGCTAAAAAGTAACAGAAGCCTATCGCCATTGAAATAACTGAACACATAAATCATCACACATTGTTAAGTAATCTCAGGTGGACTTGCTTGTGTGGTAAATGATGCTGTATTACATGCTATAAAAATGAACAAATTAACTGACAAAACCATTAATCATCAAGATAGCTGCTAGTACTGACTAGGAATGTGGCATACTTTTGTCAGTTTTTATAGATCGGCTACATTTGGCTTGAGGGAAAAACTATGTTAATTTGATTTTTCACCAAACAGTTCCTTTAAGTCCTGAAAGTAAGGTATGACAGATGCTTTGGCTATGGATCAGTGTCTATTTTTTGTATCCTTGTTACTCTCCTCTTCTGATGTGGATGTCAAACTCAGGTCCCGGAAGGCCACAGCCCTGCAGAGATTTGTGTTTTTCCCTCTTCTAACACTCTGCATTCAACTCATGAAGGCATTTTTAGTTAGCTGATGTGTTAATTCAGGGGTGTTTAATCAGGCTTGACCAGTATATCAGTTGACTGATGATACTGGGTGATATCAATGGCCTGCATTTTTTCAGTATTAGTGAAAATATTGCTGCTGACTCTAGCGATTGGTCACTACTTCACTAGGATTCAAACTGGTAATCCAACCCGGGGGGGGTGGAGGGGGGGGAGCCCAACATTGATCACCACTGGTTTGATGTATCACGGCAATACAGGCTAATGGGTCAATCTGAACATATTTAATAAAAACAAGAAAAACATTTAAATGTATCCGTACCTAAACTTTAGCATCAGAATAATGTTATAACACACAATATTTTAAAGGAGACTTATGATCCTAAAAAATCCTAAAAACATTAAATAATTAAAATATATTTATATAGTTACAGTTACAACTATATACCCATATTTACCCATTACTGGTAATATACAAGCCAAATTCCAAAAAAGTTGGGACAGTATGTGAAATGCCAATAAAAACAGAAAGCAGTGATTAGTAAATTCTATTTGACCTGTATTAATATGAAAACAATACAAACCTTTGGCCCAGAGAACATCCATTATTACCATAAACAGTCTGAAAGGTTAACTCATGAGACCACAATACACAATTCCACTGTGCATCTGTACAATTCAAGTGAGCTTGAGCCCAGAGAAGTGTTTCTGGACGTTGTTGACATATGGCTTCCACTGTGCATAGAAGAGTCTTAACTTACATTTGTGGATGCATCGATGGACGGTGTTTATTGACAACAGTTTGTCAAAGTATTCCCATGTGGTGATATCCTTTATAGAAACAAACTGTTTTTATGCACTGCTATCTGACAGACTTCCTTTACACTCAGAGATTTCTCTGGATTCCCTGAATCTTTTGATTGTATAAAGCACTATAAAGGATGAAATATCTAGTGGCAAGCCTCGACCCATCCTTGCTCTTAAAGGACTAGATCTTTCCTGGATGCTTCTTTTATACCCATGATTATATCACCTTTCACATTTTAGGGTGTTCCTAGTTTTAAATTGCCCCTTCCCAACTGAGGTAGAATGCAGTGCTCTGTTTCCCTCCAAGGATTAGAGTCTGACATTATAATCTTATGCACAAGTTGAGATGTTTCCAGAGCCGTCTGACATCTTTGCTAAATGCACTCCTGAGCTAATTGTGGCATGTTGTAGTGTAACACAAATCAAGCTTGTTGGATAGGCCGGTCTCCGTAATTTCCTTCGCTCTCTCTCTCTCTCTTTCTCTGTCTCTGCTGCCTCTCTCTCTTTCAGGACGTGTCTGGAAACCCCGCTTTCCTGGCCTTCACTCCCTTTGGTTTCGTTGTGCTTCAAGGGAACAAGAGAGTCCATTTTCTCAAATGGTGAGTGACTAACATGATCCTCTTTCTTCAATGAACTTCCACTCACAGCTTAGGGAACACACACACTCGCTCTCTCTCTCTCTGATGTGGAGTGAAAACGATGAGTCACTGTAGCCGAGAGTGGTTTGTCCCCCACGTCCCAAAGTATACAAGCCACAGCTGGTTATGTTATATTGTATTATATGTTCCCAATTAACAGTGCCTGGCCATCTGCCCGTCTCTCTGGGCAGGCATAGCAGACAGGTGTCTAATTATCCCTCATCAGCTTACTGTCCAGAAGGCTTGGCCGTTTCAACTTGTTTGTCCATCACATGATTGGAAAAACTTGCAAGAAAACACATTCAAAGCATATAGCTACTGTGCCTAATAAACACAGTTTAAGCAGCTATATGTGAACCTCATCTCGCTGTGAATGTATGAACTCCTGCAGATATTTTACATGTTTACCTAACATGGCTTTAGCGCTACTCAGATAAGATTTTTTCCCCAATGTATAGTTGTATGTGAATTTTCACTTACAAAAAAAAAAAACAAAAGTCATTTGACTGGGGGTGTTAAAACTTTGTTTTTTGTGTAACAAAAGGACGGCTACAATGTTTTTGACTGATCTGAGACGGAGCATCTACTTGAATATACAGTGGCTGCTCACAAGTAGCAAACATACATATCCAAACACTTATTTTAAATTCTCTTATTTTGGTTGTCTACCTGGCCTATCTGCCTTAAGTAATTGCAGTGTGTCATTAGCATCGTTTGTTCAGATGTTCTCTCCATGTCCAGTGTCTGTTACTGTTATACTGAATATTTCATGGCTCCAGTGGCTCAGTGCACTGTTAAATCAAAGCAACGCCTTCCATTCCCCCAAACAGGAACGAGGTGACCAAGTTGAAGTTTGAAGGAAAGACATTCCATATATATGCAAATCAGAAGGAGGTGAGAGTGTAAATGATTTGAATGTTTGTGCTTGGAGTTAGAGTTACGGTAAACATAGAATCTATGATGACATCACAGAACATTGTAGTAGTGTAAGTGTTGTAGTTCCATCTAAACGTTGTTCTTCTCTCACTATGCCTAGGACAAAAAGATCATCTTGACGTATTTTGCTCCGACACCGGAAGCCTGCAAACACCTTTGGAAATGTGGAGTGGAGAATCAGGCCTTCTATAAGTGAGTCTTTTCATGGCAAACATTACATATCCTTTTATTATTCTGCTGGGAAAAGACAAAACTGTTATCATTTAGTCCAGAGAAACATAACTTCATTACTTCTTACCTTCCTTTCAGTTCATTTCATTTGCATGCAACAATGAAAAAAGCAGGCGAATCAAACAATAATTTTCTAATTTGGCCTGGGGGAAAAGGGCCTTCTGAGCCTTAAAAAAAGAGCTTTGAAACTGCAGCAGGCTTTGAATGTTCAGTGAACGGCTTTTAACTTCATGTATAACGTTTAGAGTAGCAAAGAACCAGCACCTTTCATTTCATCTGTCTCAACAGCTGTCATACCTAAGGGAGAAATAATGTCATTCTCATCTGTGTACCACTTACATTTACATTACATTAAAACAGGAAAAACACCAAGGAGCAGGACTGGGATTCACTGTTCTAAGCCATATTTTCCTCTTTCAATTTTACCTTAGACACATAAGTCCTTTGCATTAAAATGCATCCCTGGTCTGTGTGTTATTTGTAAATGGATTTAAAAGAAAGTGTTTGGATCTAGCAGTCCTAGTGCTGAGGTAGTAAAGCATGCATTGTGATTGCAATAGAAGTTGTGTATCATTCTGTAATCAGCGTCTTGCCCATATTTGGAGCTCCACATCTAAACCGATAGTAATGATCATCATTTCCAAAAAATGCTCATATTGTGCTATATGGAAAACAGAAATGTTCCAAATCAGATACATTTTGCTGTGCGAATATTTTTCCTCTGATTCACGTTAGATCCTCTGAATTGCAAGGACATTAAGTAGTTGAAGTATGAATATTGCTGCATGCAACTAACACTGCTGTGCACTGAACTGACATCATAACCTCACCAAAATATCCCACACAAACCAGCAAGCTTTGTTAAATGTGATAGTTGAGCTTCTTCGGCAGTAGTAGGCTACAGCTTATGTAGCTGGTGTTGGTATTAAATAGTGTTGAGGTTATAGGAGGCTTTCATGTGATGTAATTTCAATCTTCAGGAGTTTTACCAGTGTATGTAGCAATGTTTATATTACCTCATAGGGGAAAATGTACAAAGGACAAAACATATCAAGTGAGGGCATGACAATAGTGATATTAGAAGACACCATTCATTTTTCATTTTTTCAACCCTTTCGTTTGACAGTGCTTCAATTGTGTCTGCTAAGCAAAAAATACCTACCTCGCTGTATTGTCTTTCTCTGTTACTTATAAGCTCAGAACACTCTGTACTGCTATTGCTAAATGTTTTCTGAAGCGTGCGCAATCATTATTTGGATGTAGAAGCGGGCACAAAAAATCAAGGTGTAAAAGCGCTGTGTCTACATTGAGCGACAGTCCGATTACCACAATTGAATCATGGTGATCGGATACTGATGCCAAGTGTAAACAAGGCCAGATGGCACCGATCTGAAACCCACTGTCAGAATCAGGTCGATACTTGTAGAAAATGCTGTAGATGCTCAGAGGAAAATTCTGATACAATTCTGATCTGATCCCTAATAAATATAGCCTAAAATGTCACAGAATTGCTTGATTAACTTTTACACTTACCAGCCACTTCATAAAGAACATGTCTTTTACATGTGGTGGTGTCAGTATGTGTTGTGCTAGTCTGAGTGGATCAGACATAGCAGTGCTGCGAGAATTTTTAAACACCTCAGTGTCACTGCTGGGTTGAGAATAGTCCACCATCCAAAAATATCCAGCCAACAGCATCCTGTGGACAGTGTCCTGTGACCACTGACAAAAGGCCAGAGATTGGCTAACACAAACTGTGTAGCAACAGATGAGCTATTGTCTCTAACTTCACATCTACAAGGTGGACCAACAAGGTAGACGTGTCTGATGGAGTGGACTGTGAGTAGACAATATTTAAAAACTAAAGCAGCACTGCTGTATCTGATCAACTTGTACAAGCGCAACACACACTAATGCCACCACCACGTCAGTGTCACTGCAGTACTGAGAATGATCCACCACCCAAATAATACCTGCTCTGTGGTGGTTCTGTTGGGGTCTTTACCATTAAAGAACAGGGTGAAAGGGGGCTAACAAAGATTGCTGAGAGACAGGACTACAGTCTGTAATTGTAGAACTACAAAGTGCACTTGTATGGTAATTGGAGTTGATAGAATGGACAGAGTGAAGATACAAGGTAGGTGTACTTAATGAAGTGGCTGATCAGTGTATATGTTTTGTACTACATTTTATATTGAAAATAATGTTTCATTTTTTGTCATGTTGAAATTTTATTTGTTTTATATTTTTCTATAACGTTTTTCTTAGTTCTATCGTTTTAAATGGAAAATGGTTATGTTTATGTAAAAAGAGATTTTTTAAATATTTGGCATGTAAAATTAATACTAATATTACAATTCCATAAATAGTTTTGCACTGTAAGTGATATTTCTTCCTTTTTTTTTCAGTTTCAGTATCTGTAATGTCAACTCTAGTCCAGTCATAGTGTAACAGTGCTGTCTTAAAGTGTGCATGTGGGGGTGGTCAGCGCTGTACCTTGCACGTGTCAGGGGTGACCTTTCTGGTCTGAGCGATGGCTGGGGAGCAGCCAGAGAGGAGGCAGTTCTCCAGGGAGGAGGGGGCGTGTTATTGCAGTGACTGATTGCGAGCGTCCTTGGTCCAAACCACCGGGACACGTCAGAAGCACAGTGCGGAGCAGGCTGAGACATTATGGACGAGCCAGAGGGGCGGAGGTTTCTGCAGGATAGTTATGAGGAGAGTTATGTCTCAGGGCAAGTCAGCGGGTGTAGCAAACAGTGAGAGAGAAGGCTATGAAATGGGGCAACAATGCTGGGTTACACTGTTCCCTTAGCGCATGGAGAACTTCAACGAATTTTGCTGCTGTTTACTGCCCATCAGAAATTTAGAGACACCTTGGCTCTGACATTTAGTGTTTGTTTGTTGCTGTAGCTTTTCAGTAAATAAGAAATATATATTATCATCATAAAACAGCTATTTGCTAATACTTTGGGTATATTTTCATTCAGCTTCATGTTCATCAGGATCTCTTCTGTGGTATGGAGGTTCTGCCTGAATAATAATGTGACAGTTTTCTTTGTCCCAAAGGTACAAATCTGAAATGTTTGAGTGTTGTTGAGTGCTAGCATCACAAGAAGGGAATTAAAATTTTTACAAACATAGAAAATATTTGGGTATCCATTATCAGATTTGTTATTTGGTTGCTGGAGTTTTTGTATTCCAAGTCAAAAGGAATCTGTTCCCTTACATTAAAGAAGTCTGTGGCAGTATTTTGAGTCTCTGTGCACTCAGCTGATAGCGTGAGGTGAAGGGAAATGCATAATTGAAAACCCGGGTGTTTGTTTCCAGTGAAAGCTGTGTTTGAGTAAAGGTACTCCATGCCCTGCTGATGAGGAGCACTGGAACAAAGTGTTCTCCTGAGACTCTTTGTGTGTTAATCTTAGAGCCAGGATCTTTGAGCTTGCAGAACGTATCCAGAGGATGCGCTGATAGGAGCTGTTGTCAAGTATTTTCCTCTGTTTTTGAATCACCTACAAATTTTGGCTATTTTGCATAATATAATGTGACCCTTTTCTGCATTATACAAAAGTGCATTTGCTAAGTTGCCAGAGTACTCTAGTGTGAAATCACTGTTCGGGTAGTTGTTGCAAGAAGATAAAATATACAGGCTAACAATTTGGTGAAATGCGATGGTTTTGCTCAGATTTTGAAGTATGTATGTTATACTTTGTTACTCCGAAACACAAATATGAATGTGCATGAGGGCACTGCCAAGTTTTTAAGGATGTGACTGAGAAAGCAGAGACAGTACTAGGCTCTAATCTAGCTAGTGTTAGCTAGGTCCAGAAACAATGAAAACATGTTCTGATGGTTCCTCTGTCCAGTGAGGAGAAAATACCCCTTGTAGAAGTCATTGGGTCCTCATCAGCATCCAACAGCACACTTTGCTCTGTTAGGCAGCCTCTGGTACCCAGCCAATACGAAAACCTGCCTGTGTCGCTCTGCTGTTTTTGAATAATAAAACAGGTTCCTCTGTGTGCTGCTATATTTTCTGTTCAACACCAGTGCCTTTTTTGGCATTGTTCTTCCTTAATTACCTTTTATCTACACTAACTGACTACTTTATCAGAGACACTCAAGCTAACCCCAGCAACGCTACCACACCATACCAGCCACTAACACACCCACTACAATGTCAGTGTCACCGGTATGCTGATAATGATCCTTCATTCAAACAATACCGAATCCTATGGTGGTCTCTTTACATTGATAGACAGGGTTGGTGATATCCACGATATACTGTGATTTAATTTATCATGTTAAAATATTTTTTTATTTTGTCATTATTTGCTATTAAATTACACAATGTCATTCGATAAAATTACTTAAAACAAGTTACAATGTCTAGAATTAAGTTTAATGATTCGTACAACAATAAAATGAGAGAGATGAGAGAATGAGAGAAATATTCAATGTATTGACTATCTGCATTTGAGAAGAATTATTTCACTTGCATTCAAAAAACGGACATTCAGCATTGCATGGACTTGATAGCAAACTGCAGCAGAGCTTTCCACACTAAATGTCTTTTCTCGGCACTATACTGCAGTCTTAGAAGTTGTGTTGTTACAAACTGTCCTTATGCAGTTGTTTTTCTCTTATTTGTTCCTCAGGCTGGAGAAGTCGAGTCAGGTGCGCACTGTGTCTAGCAGCAACCTGTTTTTCAAGGGCAGCCGCTTCCGCTACAGGTGAGTGTAGATGGACAGATGTGCACAGTCACTGGACAGTAGACCTGCAAAGCCTCCTACAAGGACCTATTTTTGACCCCTGCTTGAAAATAGTCCACTATCCTGTGGAGCCACATGGGCAGTGCAGGTGACCGTGTGTGAGCTGTTGTTAATTTAATTTTATCCTTAGCTTCAATATGGCAGATGTGTGAATCTTCTATCAGCTGTAATGACAGCAACAACTGTTGCACAGTTGTGAAAATTTGCACATCCTCTACAGAGAACACACTTCTGCACATTTTAATGCACAGTTGTTGTTTATTTGCTGAATTTAATATATTAAAGAAAAAATAAAACATGAAATGTGGCCTGTGCAAACATTATGGCACAGTTTATATTTGATGTTTTATTTGTTTCCAGTATATTAAAGTGATTATTAGGGGTGGGAATCTCTAGGCACCTCACGATTCGATTCGATTACGATTCAGAGGGCTGCGATGCGATTATAAAACGATTATCGATGCATCTTGATGCATCTTTTTTCTCTATATAGCATTTATATTTTATCACTGTGTGAGTTCAAGTTTCAAGTTTATTTGTCATTTGCACAACATGTCAGGACATTTATGCATTGAAATGCTTGTGGTGAGGCTCAGCTAATCTCTACAGAAAGTAAATAAGTAAAAATAAAAATACAAGAAAAACCAACTGAAATATATTAAATATACACAAAATATACACAGAATATACACAGAATATAGAGACAATCGGGGATCGCTGTGTCAGTAAAGTATCTTTGAGATGGGACGTGTGCAACATAGCACGAAAGCCCTGTTTCGCAGACTGAGAAATGGCATGCAGACTGCAGGTCACCTAGCAACGATGTGTTATTCACATTTATAAGCAGCGCAGTTGGTTTCCTGGTACGTTAAATCTGCAACGAGAGACTGTCACACACTAAAAAGTGGCAGAGCTGAAGTCGCTTCTCTTTCGAATTCTCCCGTTCCACCTTAAATGATGCCGCATTTATATTTGCCGCCTCAGTTAGAATTTAAGGTGGAACGGGTAAATTCGAACAAGAAGCTGGAGAATAAGAAGCGACTTCAGCCTCGTAAAACAGTCGAATGTTGAGAGACATATAACTGATCTACTTTTAAGGAAAAGTTTTCTGGTGGAGATGGGCTTAAAGCAGAGCGAAGTAAATCTGCGTTTTTGTTTATATTGTTTTGCCTATACTAGGACATTATCACATACTGAGACATACTGGACATTCTTATCATTTGGGTTGTGACTCCTGACCTAACCTGGCTTTAATGCAGAGGGAGCCGCTCGGATTTCTCACTCATCCATGTGTGTTTTTGTTATGTGCCGCCACAGACTGTCCGGGCGCTGCACTTACCCACTTCCAAGTTCCGCCTTTTGCATTCCGTCCACATTACGTTATAAATTAAATATTTAGAAAATCGTTTTTTGACATTTGTGAATCGATTCAGAATCGTTCACGTCCGCATCGCGATGCATCTAAGAATCGATTTTTCCCACACCGCTAGTGATTATGTATATATATATATATATATATATATATATATAAATTAGTTCACTATAATCTGCAGAAAAAATGATATTTCAGTTTGTTCCCTGTAGAGCAGTGGTTACCAAGCATCCTCCTGGAGATCTACCTTCCTCCAAATTTTAGTTCCAACCTGTGTCTAACATGCTGCCCCCACCTTACCTAACACCAATGCATTTGATACAGCCAATCAGGCTCTTCTGAAGAGGTTAAATAGCTGGAGCAGGTGTGGCAAATTGTGGTTGGAACTAGACTCTGAAAGAATTTAGATGTCCAGGACCATAGTTGGTGACCACTGCTATAGAGGATGTGTTCAACAAAACATAATTTAATCAGGAGTGTTCAGACTTCTGTGTTAGTTATAGTTCTACAGCCTGTACAATTACAGACTGTAGCCCCTCTGTTGCCATGCACAGTTTATCAGATATCCTTTACTCATCATTGGTCAGTTTCTATTGATCAGATATTATTTAGGTGGTGGACCATTTTCACCACGGCAGTGACACCAACATTGTGGCTTGGTAGTGTGTGTGTGTGTGTGTGTGTGTCTCTGGTATGTGTGCATTAAACATAGCGGTGTTACTGTGAGGTCACCCAAAACTATCCAGCCAAGAGCAGCTCTGTGGACAGACACTGACTACTCGAGGCAGGCAGCACAAACTGGGAAAATAAAATTTGCATGTTTCCAATGAAGTGCGCAGTGATTGTGTTTATTCAACTAGATAATACAAGGAATACCGTGTTCATAAATGGTCAGAATTAATGATGTAAAAATACAATTGCGTAAATGTAACAGAATAGTGCAGCTATGCCGGCTTCTCTGTAAGAGGATGTTCAGTCACGTCATGGTGCTTTTAGAGGTCAGAGAGAGAGTTCTGAAGAGGAGGGTCCAGAAGGTTAATCTAATTCCAGCACCTTAAGGACTGCAGCAGCAGTATTGCCCATCACTCACAGTCACTGAGAGCTCCCTGAGTCTTAGCAGAATAGTGGAGATGGCCCTGATGCTGACAGGCTGCTGAAAATGAAGGATGTTTGGTACTTTGGTAGATGCCATTTTTGGCTGTCTTGAGGTCTGTTTCCTTGCACCCCTCTATATTGGATAACATTAGAAAGGGCAAAGCAGATATGGTCTTAGGAAAGTGCAAAAGGGCAGCTGCTATTTGTTGCAGCACAGATTGAAAATTGAGGTGGACGAAGTGTGTTTTCTGTGTGTGGTTGTTGGGCCAAATGTATATCTGGTTTCATCCCGTCACAGTGGGAGAGTGGCCAAAGAGGTGATGGAACAGAGCGCTAAGATCAAGCGGGAGCCGCCTGCAATTCACAGGTATGTGTATTTTTACGTTGCATCATGGAATTGGAAGATTAAGTGACCCTTATTAGTCCCACAACGGGGAAATTTCACCTCCGCAATCTAACCCATCTGTGCAGTGAAACACCACATGCACACCAGTAAAGACACACACTAGGGGGCAGTGAGTACACTTGCCCAGAGCGGTGGGCAGCCCTATCCCCAGCACCCGGGGAGCAGTTGGGGGTTAAGTGCCTTGCTCAAGGGCACCTCAGTCACGTACTGTCGGCTCAGGGTATCGTAAGGCTGGTTCCCTAACCTCCAGCCCATGACTGCCCCCATAATACACAGCCCTGAAATGAAACCTGTTGTGAAGCTCCCCTCTTAAAGCTCTACTCTTGCAAAATCAAGCTCCACTCTTACTTCAGATCTGAAAAAATCCACAGGTGTTTTTGTCCATCCTTCCACTGTGAGAAGACAACTCAGCACTGGGTCTGAAAGGAAGTGTAGCTGTCAGTAGGCTGTTACTGAGAAAATAAAACAGACAAAGAGAAGAAAATTTGCTAATAAAAACACAGATGCGGATCTTAGAACAGTGGACCGACTACCCCCGAATCTAGACCTCAACATCACTGCATGTGTTTCGGATGTGAGAAGCAGAAAAATGAAACCAGTTTCAAAGACTGAACTTTAGAGGTGTGGAGAAATATCTTTGCAGATTTCTCAAACTGAAAGCAAGTCTCAATACATCGAAATCAAGTTGCAATAAATACTGAAAAAATTAGTGTTATGTTTGGTTGTTGAGGCTTGAGGATTTTTTTATGTTTATTTTTCCCTTTCTTACGGTTAATCAAATATCCATTCGTTCACTCTTACCAATACCGAATATCAAAATTAGTCAAAAAGCACTTAGTGTTGGTAAATTTGTTTCTGCGCTTGCACATCTGTTTGTCCCCAAAAGCTGTCCTAATTCACATAATACCCTTAGAAATCAATTAGTGGAATGTGTGTATGTGTGTGTGTGTGTGTGTGTGTCTTTGTAGAGGCTCTCACCTTATTTGTGGCTCTTATACAGTTCTTACTGTAGTAAGATAATTCATGGTGTTGATGTCAAGCTGTGTGTGTGTGTCTGTCTGTCCACAGAGCTGGTCTAGTGCCCAGCAGAAGCTGTCCATCCATCACTCATGGGCCGCGGCTAAGCAGCGTGCCACGCACTCGCCGGAGAGCTGTCCACATATCCATTATGGAGGGTGAGTCTCCAGTTCAGCCAAATGACCAACAAGCCTCAGAATAACCACAAACCCCAGCATCACACCTCACAAACAGAAACACCTCAGCTGAGTGTCAACAGCAGACTGGCTCGCAGTGTCAGTGAAATACTTTAGTAAACGTTCAATCTTTAGAGAATATCACTATGGCTTTGAGTGATGTAACATTAAGCTGTTTAGTTGAATTTTGTGTGTTACTTAATTATTTTCTTCTTGAGGTTTTAGTAGACTTACATTCTTAATTACAATATTGCTTGGATATTCAGTGTTACCCTGTGGTCCTCCTACTTGAATTTTTTTTTTCATTTTTTATAGAGGATCACAGCCACATAGGCTGAGGGCATTTATGTGCATTTGGTAAAGGGCCCCACAATGCCAAGAGCTAAAACATATTTCTCTGTTCTCAATGTTATATCAACAAAATAACTTTTGGCACATCATCTACTTAAAAGATCTTGTGTAGATAATAGGTCCCCCTCACAATCTAACGCTACTTCTCCATCCTCCGTCACTCAAGCTTCCTCTTCAGCTGACGTTAAAACTGCTTTGTTAATGAAATACTGAAATACTGGTTTAATCCACAATGGCTAACAAATTTCCCTTGGTTATTTTTAAACATAAAACAGATGTTTTTGAGTTTATTAGCCTGCTAATGCCACAATTCTCTGCAAAGTCACAGCAACCATTCATTTACTTAATTTCCAGTGAAAACGGCCATTAAGTACTGCTTATTCATTTTCTGGAGATATTTCTGAGGAGATTTGAGTGATATGATGCTTAGCAGTTTAGTGTGTTATTGAAGAATGGAACAGCTATTTTCTTTTTGAGGTTTTAGTTGCCAAATCAGCATCTCAAGCATTTGTTACAAAACACAAGTTGTTGGGCAAAGCTGAAACATTGTTTATACTTTTTTTTATGACGCTGTGGACACCACACTGTGGACATGACTGAAAATGTCTTTCAAACGTTCAGGAGCAATGGCCAGTGTCATGTTTTGAACTGATTGCAGTCACTTTCTTTGCTTGTGAACTGTGACGCACACTCACACGTTCAGCACAGGCTGTAATCTGAGCCTGGCCCTGTCCAGGAGGCGCAGGTGTCTGTGTCAGTCAGCCGCTCTTTCTCAGTGCTGACTTTTTGTACAGCAAGTACCGTGGGCCAACCTTTTGTATCAGCTGTGCCCAGTCTGTCCCACCTATCCTGGTCTTGCAGGTGTTGCTCTACCCCCTTCATCATGGTTCTCCTGGGCCTGGATTTAAGCCACCAAAGCACTGAACAGCCAGACCTTTACACAAGCTACAGTTTGATCTGCTGGACCCTGAATGAGCCATGGCTAGCAGTCAGAGCCTCTCCCTCTAAACTAGCTCTAAACCAGTTTAAATGCTTTGCTAAAGCAGTTAAGGCTTAATGTGAATAAGAGTATAGGAGCTCTTGTGTGGTTGAGGTGGCTGAGGAGAGCAGCACATATCCTACATGTGCTGACGGTGTGCCTTCCAAGAGTATTAATACCCAGCCCTCTGAAAATAGCCAGAGCCTTGCTCTCCATTTAAGTCACTGGTTGTGGGTGGAGAGAGAGGCCAGATGAATACTGGGCAAACATTAGGCCGGTGTAGGGTGGGGTGGAGTGGGGCATGCCGTTTGATCTCCTGTTGGAGACACTCTCCACTGCCTGTTTTCACGCACACACAACTAAGCCTCCACCCAGCGGCCTGCAGTAGACAAAGGGGACCAGAGACAGAGTCAGCACGCGCATACGCTTGCAAAATTACTTTGAACCCACTAACTTTTTCCTTCAGAACTGTGCTAACCCACTTGCTTTTGCCTTTGGAAGCGCAAGAACTCGCTTGCCTTTTCTTCGGAAGCGTGTAGACCCACTTGTGTTTTCCTTTGTTACCAGATGAGCCCACTTCTGTTCTTCCTTTGGAAGTGTGTGAACCTGCTTGCTATTTCCTCTAAAACGGGGTGAAGCCACTTCCTTTTTTCTTTGAAACTGCGTGAACCAGCTTTCTTCTTGGGAGCCACGTGTACCTGTTTGCTTTTTCCTTTGGAACCACGTGAATCTTGTGACATTTTTCCTTCAGAAGTGTACAACTTTGTTAGCTGTTTCCTTTCGAACTACGTGAACTTACTTTTTCTTTTGGAACCCACAAATCGCTTCTTCTGCCATGGTGAAGTGCCTGATTCGCATCACCACGCGGGTGAACGTTCACCTGCGCATGATTAACCACTGTTACCGGGATGTGAAGGTGCGTGTGCTAAGTCTCGGGCCACGGCTGCTGGGGAAGGCCCTGGGTGTGCTGCCCCTCTACCCGGCTCTTACTGCACAGCAGGACCAACTGCGGGCATCTCCTCTGCCTGCCATGCCACAGCCATACATGGTGGCCAGCGCAGCTCCAGGTCCAGGTGTGTGATTTTGTTCTTGCCAGATAGAAGTGTTTGGCTACATTACTGGTTCCCAATTATGGGCCTGGATTCACAAATCTTAAAATAGGAGTCCTGGTTTAGAATCAGATTCCTCTCTTATTTACTTTGACTTAACTGACTGGAACAGATTCTTGGTCAGTACTCCTAATCTGAGAAGCTTTATGAATATGGGCCCTAGTCATGGAGTACCCCACCCCTGCCCTGCCCTTGCCCGGTGTGTTTTCTGTTTTTACTCAGAAAGGGCTTGTTAATGAGCTGTATTAGGATCAGGTGTGTTAGAGCAGAAAACACCAAAACATTTAGGGCAGTGATAATCCAAAACCAGGATGGGGAACCACTGGGTTACACTTAGACTGTGCATTAAATGATACAGAACAACAATGGCATGCCCTCACTTGTGTGGTCCTAAATCTGCTAAAAACTCGTTCATTCGTTAAATGCTGTAAGGTTCATAAGTTGAGTGCGCTTAGTAATAGTAGTTTAATTTTTTATCTTCAGCTGCTGTTGAGGCTTTCAATCAATGTCATGAGCTTTGTTTTCATAACTTTCTGCTAGATCTCATCAAGGAGGATTGTTTTTATCATTTGTGCAAACTTGTAGTCTTACTGCAACTGTATTTTTACATTTGTGCACGGCCATTTCTGTTTTACATTTGCAAGTTCTTTATTTAGTATTTTCTTCACTGAGGAAGGCCATGCTGATATTTTAAGTAGAACATGATAGGAGTTGAGAGCTCCCGTTTCCCAATAAAAAAGGAGTGCTGAATTTGGCTTCTTAGCCATTTCAGTGTGTCCGGCTAATCAAAACAGACTTTCATTGCTACTTTGCTGGTTTAGTGCTTTGAAGGACTGCTTCGTTTTGTGAATGAAAAGTTTATGCCTAAGCAGTGCCTCATTGTCAGGAGCTGAAATCCTAATCCTCTCCTCAATATGAAGAGGTAACATATCTGCTGTGACATACTCTGGAATTAAAACTTGCTCTTTTTAACCTTCATCCAGTTCTGCTGTGGAGTCCAAGTAAAACAGTATGAAAAAAATATGTCTAAAATTGGGGGGATTTGCAAAGGCCATTAGTTTTGCATGACATGGACCTATGCTGTCGTTGGCCAAGGCAAAAGCATGTTTAAAAATATCCACAGTGGGCAGAATTGCTGTTGAAGTTGATTGCAGTCTGAACTTCAAACAAGCATTTCAAAAGTTCACAAAATAACAAGAACAAAAAATTACAAATGTAGTCCCAGACATATTACAGACCTGGATCTTGCAGTAACTATGATTAATATTATTTGTTATTTGTAGTATTAGTAGTGGTCCATAGGTGTCACTCTCTAAAGACATTAAACTTCATATTCACTACTTCCAAACTGTGAATATAATGGGCTGATAGCCATATACCACATTTCTACCTTTAAAATCATTAGCAACAACATTAGCAGTTTATTTAGTTTTAATTTTCTTTATTGTGATATGTCTATCTGGTGATCATACTAGTTACTTCATACAGAATCAGAAAATAATTTTTGTTATATTTGACAGTTAAACAGCTGAACTGTCTCTCACATTGTTACATAAATATGCACACACAAAGGTAGTCAGAGAGAGAGAGAGAGAGAGAGATAGCAGTCAGGTTGTATTCTGCAGTGAACTAACAAGTCTCCGATGACGGAGCATCTGCAAGGTGAGATCTTTGCCATTACGTTTTTGTGCCTCAGTCTTTGTGCTGTGTGTGATATCTGTTTTATCTGTGGACAGTGTGCACACAACAAAAGAATATTACCTAAATCAGTATGTGTACACCCTCATCCCACCACCCATAGTCTGATCACATGGCTTTTTAAGCTAATAAGTCTAATAAAACAGAAAAACAAATCTGAGCATAAACAAATACATAAATGATTACTGATTTTAACTGGCCAAAGTGTATGAGAAAAGCTGTACCTTATATGGCTGTATACCTTCAAATTATGGCAATAAAAGGTAACAATGAATGATATTTGGTACAAAAGAATGATGATGCAAACACCTAAATGACATAAAAATCTTTAAAACACTACCACAAATTGTTATATCTGGGGGGATGGATGAGAATTAGAAGTTTTCCTGGCTTTCTTGTGTGATTTGTCAAACTTTGTTAAATTAAATGTCAAATAACATTTACCTTCCTCTATATTGTGAAAAACATTACTCGCTTGTCCTGTATCAGAGTTTGCCTGGAAACATGTGGGGTGATCAGTGAGGCCTGACAATGCTAGCTTTGTTTCCAACACCTCAGCTGCTTTAATCTCTTCCAGCTTTGGGTAAAACCCAAAACGTTGATAATGAAGCATGGAGGCTTAGGAACAGACAGTTCTGTGTTGGACAAAGCAGCAAACAAGCTGATTAATGATTATGAGCTCATCATTAAGGGCCTCACATTCAGGTCATGTGGTCATCTTTCTGTTACTCACGACAGCCATCTACTGGAGTAGTACAGACTGTGCTATAACAGACACTGCACATTTTAGTGTTTTACCTTATTTAATTTAGTAATTGAGATGTAAACAAAGTCATTCAGAGTAATATGAAGAGAAATGGTGCATTGTAGAGAAACTTCATCTGTAGTCATAGGAACCGGGGTCACAATGTGTCTAACACAAAATAGACATTTTATTTATTATCCAAAATGACCAGTGAACCTACACTTGCCTACATGAGTGTTTATATGTAATGTTGATAATGGTAAAATAGTGGTAAACTCAAAAGACAAGTTAATAAGTTCCTTTTGTATTATTTTGCCTTAAAACACACTGCATGTACTCCTGTGTGTGAATTTTTAAAAGTAATGGATAGTAAAACAATTGCCCAGGCAATAAGCAACGTATTTGTAACCATTTCATGTAATAACTTTCTAGCTTTTATTAAGCTTTATTAAGGCATTAAGCTGGTTCCTATCACCAGAACAGTTCTGTGTCTAGTTTCTATAGAGTGAACCATTTTACATCAAACCACTCTGAATGAGTATTTATGTAATGAAGTGTAATTATGCAGAACTTTTGAAAAACTGGTGGAATTCGCATTAAAATAAACCCACTTAAACTCAGGAAGGGCTAGTTAATGAGCTAATTCATTGGATCAGGTGAATTAGAACAGGGAAAAAACAAAATAGGCTGGACAGTGGTACCAGAGCCGGTTTATAAGGGGCCTGGCCACTTCCTATTTCCCTTGTTACATCAAAAACATGACTCCAAAACAGCAGAGGATGCCCGCAAGCAAGTCCTCAATGAATGGGGGTAAATGGCGCTAAACTGCTAAAAACAAAAAGATGAAATAGTTTCTAATCACTGGCCCAGAACTTTCCTTTAATTTTAGGAAGTAGAAGGATGTATTTTACTAAAAAAGCAAAGAAAACTCACCTGTATGTTTCCTTTTTTCTACAGCAAACGTGTTTTGGGCAGCAGGGCGCTAGCATTACTGCTAAGTGCTAATCGGTTGGCGAGCGGAGCAGCTCATTGGCTGTTCACGCTTACTGGCGTCATGAACATACATGAGGCGCCGTTTCAAACTATAAATCAGTTTAAAAGCCCTCAAAAATATAACAACGGTGTTAAAATGTTTTATGCTGTTCTGTGTTCAGGAAATAAATGTATTCTTTTATATTAAAAATGTTTAAGCATTTATACATTTATAAACTATGATTTTACTCTAATGCTCCATATTAACCCATTCATTTTGGACTTGCTCAGGAGCGCCCTCTAGTGTTTGAGAAACCTGGAAGACATTGCAGAGTGGTAATTCTCCTCTCTACAACTTCTCTGGTGATACTCCGGGATGCGAATTAGCGTAACATTGTTTTTCTCTCTTTCCGTTTCCTTCCATACCTCTCAAACCCTGTTCTGTCCAGGTCTGGAATCGCTGCGGGACAGTGCCCACTCCACACCCGTGCGCTCCGTCTCCCATGGCGACTCCTTCATCCCGCGCTCGCGCAGTCAGGCGGCAGAGGCCGGGGACAGCTCCGCTGTGATCGCCGATGAAACCTACAGCCCGGCGGACAGCGTATTGCCCACACCGGTGGCCGAGCACAGCCTGGAGCTGGCAGTCTCGCGCCAAATCAACGGCGCCCCCTGCAGCATTGAGGAGGAGAAGGAGTCAGAGGCGGGGACACCCACGGGGGCGGAGCCAGGCGAGCTGGGAGTAGACAGCAGGGCGGCGGGCTCGCTGCAGGCGGCTGCCCTCAGCGAGGCGGAACAGGTGAATAAGTTTGTCTTAAGTGTCCTCCGTCTGCTCCTTGTGACCATCGGACTCCTCTTTGTTTTGCTCCTCCTCCTCATCGTCCTCACCGAGTCCGACCTTGACGTAGCCTTTTTACGTGATATCCGCCAGACCCCCGAGTTCGAGCAGTTCCATTATGAATACTTTTGTCCCCTCAGGCGGTGGTTCGCCTGCAAGCTCCGCTGGGTGGGCGGGCTGCTCATTAACAAGTGAACGTGGTGCGTAGCTCTCGTTAAAAAGCCCGCCGCGGTGGGGGGTCGAGAAGACGACAAGCGCGACGGAGAGAGGCGGAGGGCAGCAAGCCGTCCCCCAACCATGAACACCTGGCTTCTCTCATGATTCTCCTGCTGATGTGCCCCGGGCCTCCAATGCCAGGAGCTCCCTTCTCCTCCTCTCTTTTAACCCCGCCCTCCTCCTTTTGCGTTTTGACATTTTGTCTTCTTTTTTCCCCCTCCATCCTTCTCAGTTTCGTCCGTTTTTTTTTCTTTTTTAATTAAAGACAAGACTTTTTTCATGATTCATGATTTTCCTCTTTTTTGGAATTTCAGGTCATTTCAGGTGTTTTATTTTTGAAAAAATGAACAAAAAAAAATGACAAAGTTGACTCAAAGAACTGAAGAAGATACTATTCCTTATATAGGGATGAAATATTTTGTTGCAACAAAAGAAAGTTGCCTTTATTACTATTTATTTTGCATTTATGATAAACAGTTTTAGAAGGTGGCACAAGGAGGCAGAACAGAAAAGGAAATATGTGAAGCTAAGTAAGTCTGTGAAATTGGTGGACAACCAATGCTTTTTAGAGAGTTCACTCATAGTTCATGTCCATCCATCATTCAGTCATTGATCATTCATATATCGCAGGCTGCTATAACTTACAGCAAATAACGTAAGCATTGATTGATCTGGTGAGCCATGAGGTGTGTGTCATATGATGTAGGATTGTGTAAGTTGTTTTTAGAGAAGGATTGATTGTTGGAGCGAGTTCTGAGGGTAAATGTTAATCAATAAAGGTTTTGGGTATTTTGAAGTTATGTATTTTGGCGGATTATTTTCAAATCGTCATACGTTTTTAGGAGTATAACAATGTGTGAGCAGTAGAAAGCTGTGAAGTAGAAATCCATTTTTAAGACAAAAAAGGTTTTCTAAAGGATAAAGAAACAAACCAAGTAAATATGTGTTCTGTCATGTGACCCAATAGTATCAGTACCTGTTAGAGAAATGTCCATGGTTGACCTCTTGAAAACACCTAGCGTCCATAGATCCAGTCTAGCTAGATGTGCAATACTGTAAAGTTATACTACTTTGAGAGTGTTCACCTGCTTTTTTTTTGTTTTTGGTCTCATTTCCTTTGGTTTTTCATGTCCTGAGTTTATTATTGCTAGGAGAAAGTTGGAAGATGTCTTATTGTATAGAGAACGACAAGTTTGTTTCAATTCCATATCAACCCTGCTCTTACATTTGTACTTTGTGGATATCATGCTATTTACTTAGAATTACAATAATGATGCTGTACTTTTTTGTACAAAAGTAGTTAGTTTCCTAATATATATTGACAGTTTTTTTCCATGTATATTTTAACAGAACTGAAATGTTATTTTGTTATTGAAGATTAAATTATACCTTTTTTAGCTCTGCGTTTCAGGCGAGGTCTAGAATTTGTGGTGTAATTGCTGGGGGAGACAGAAGGCTTTTAATCCAGATCCACTGTCCATTTCCACCCACTCTCACTTAATCAACAGCGAACGTTCTTTGCATGCAGGCGCCAAATTGTGCTTCAAAGAGGCATTGCATGCTGGGTTACGGAGGACGTCATCTGCTCTGCACAGTCCAGACCAAAGACTGTGTGCTGTTTACCGTTACTGTCACGGGCAATATGTACTTGAAACTGCGAATCAGTCTTTATTGTACTGTATATATGTTAAGATAGAGCTGATGATTACAAAGACATGGCTGTTTGGACTGGGTGGGCGGAAAAAAAAAACTTGGTTGTTTATCTGTCTGCTCCCTTCAAACCGATGTAGAAATGTGTGTGTGTGTGAGCGAATGGGAAAGAGAAAATATTAAATATTAGAGATGCAGATAGTTAGAGGAACACTCCAGCAGTTTTCAGCCTAATCTCTATCTGCTGCATCTACAGCATCTGGTCAGTTACCACAGACTACTGACACGTTTCCCTGTACAGCACTGTTATCTCAAAACAGAAGAAAATGCAGAAGCTTATAGAAGACAAGGTGACACTTTCTACAAATGTGGCAGGTAGAGATTAGGTTGAAAATTGGCTGAAGTCTTCCTCTAAGGCTTATTTTTGTTCGCTGGGAACAGTTTTTGGGTTCTTGAAAAAGTGAAAAACATGGCAAAGATGGTGATGGAAATGTCCGTGTTTGGCTTTAACCCTCATAGGTTTAATTCTGGCAACTCATAGGCCTGGTTGGTGTAGTATTTGATTGACATGTTTCTATTTGATCACTAATGTACGCTGCGTGCAACAAGTCAGTTTTTTAGGGATGTGTCTACAGTGCTTGGTTTGGTTATTCCTGTAGTGTTTATCAGACACAAGTGTTGCTTTGGAATGGAGGTTACGCTGAAGTATCAGCACGATCATCTCAAACGTTACACAGGTTACTCTTGCATCCATCTGCTGCTTGGCAGCTTTGGGTGCTGTCTTCCACAGTCATCAGAAGCTGAAGGTTCATCAGTTGGACACCCATACAGTGGCACTGGAGCACTGTAGCACACTTTTTTAAACACAGAATCCAAAAGCAGCTCTAAGCACATTCAACTGGTGGAGGTATAAGGATGGTCACAGTCACGAAGGCGAGAGTCACTAAAGTAATGCATGTCTCTTACCTAAAGAAGTATTCATGCATGCATTTTCAACAGCCTTGTAATGGAAGAATATCGCCTGAGTCTTTTATATTTTCTTATTATCTGCAAGAGAGGTGAGCAGTACATTTCCTTCTTTCACTTTTTTGGTGAAGACCTATATCCTATATCAATAAACGAGTGATGTAACGTCAGATATGCGAACGATCAAATGAAGGATAGAGGTCCAAGTGGATGGTCAGTTTTTATTCTTTCTACAGCATTTATGTAGCCTGGGTGGCCCATCCTGCATGCACCCAATACCGCTGGCAGCACCATTCAATAAGCAATAATTAGTTCAGCTGTAAAATCACAAGAACAAGGATTGTCTTGACGGTTTTTGTGGTGTTTTGTAGCAAGGGCCAGGCAACCTTTTGGTGGGATGGGTGGGGTTAACAAATAAATCAATATCACTTGAGTCAAAGTTTGTGCCTGAGCTCAAATAACGTGATCATTTCCAACACTTGCTACATTTTATGCTCACTGTAATCACTCCAGTCATAGCCGATTCTGAATTTGAACTGGCAGCGTTTTTAATAACTTGATCAGTCTGTCCAAGCATTATGTGATCTCTTTCCCTAGAGACCAGTAGCCTTTTGGGGCCCTAAAAAGAAATGGATTCTGCTGTGCAAATTATCACTGAAGAAAATCTGAGACATGGATTCTTAAAACTAGTAGACAAACATGCAAGACACAAGATTCCTAAACACAGATTCATAAGCCTAACAATAATCTTGCATGTAGTACTTTTAAAATACTGTCATAACATATAATCTCTGAAAAACCTTTCCTTAAAAAGATTATTGCTTTAGGCTTTTTTTACTGCTGCCATACGGAATGACCAGGGTCTGTGTACTTTATCAACAGTTTCAGAATAGGACTACTGATTAGGGAGTAGATCCCTGAGTGCAAGAGAACATGACATGACTGGAGCATGACTTCAATACCCTATCAGCGATTTAACTGTGATAACGGTCATGAAACCATCACTACTCATTTTGTACCATGAGTGCACTTTTCATTGGCAGTAAATGCTTTAAAATGTAAGTCTCTTAAATCAGGCTCCTATTTCATACGTACATTTGATACTGGTGTTAGTATGCTGGATATAATGGTTGTGAACTGAACTGTTTATTACATAATATTGATCTGCTGTATGCTTTCATGTAGTTTCTCACTTGAAAAACTGGCTGAGGTGCTTTTCCTGTAGGTTGTATGGCAGATGTTTTTGTATCTCTCACTGTACAGCAAAAGAGAGGTGTATTGATGTGAAGTTGGACAGCTTCCATTGCCATATTCTAGCAGTCACTCCGGAGTGCTTTTACAATAGCTTTGCAGAACACTGCATTGCAGATACTGTACTTTCACAGCTCTGAATTAATATCCACTCTGGGGCCACACATTATTATAGCATCGCGCTAAATCAGATCCAGCATGCTTATATGAAGGAAACGTGGTAGAATGAGTTTATAGGACTGTTGGTCAAAGATACAGGTTCAGTATAGTCCAAAAGAACGAATGATTAAAAGAATGGTTTGGAATAAATAATAATAAAAGAATGGTTTTAAATAAATAAATACACCAGTTTTCACTTACTTCACATGTAGATGTTTGGTGTCCAAATTCTGCTTCTTTAGTTTAGCGCTGGAGCCATGAGGCTAACGTTGCTAACAAACACTAGAAATCAATAGACACCCAGATCTTTTCTGTAAACACATCCCCACAACTTCTCTCTACCCACTCAAACCTCGTGCAGCTCTTCAATAAGATCGTGCAGACTTCATGTGGTTTAGAGGACAGATTGACTTACTATGAACCATAAAAATGAACTAAACTTCACTGTGTAGCTGAACGTATCGTGTAGCCATTTTTGACAAAAGCTGGCAAATTCTGACTCTCAGAATCCGACTCCCCTCCGCGTGCACGCATGTGACGCAGGCACACCGAGGCTAGTTCTTCTACGTTTCTATGTATTAACGTGTCTTCAATTCGAAAATTCAAGAACAACCATTACTTATAATTAGAAACAGAGGAACTTAATCTGTCCAGTACCTGCATGACGTCCTGTGTGCATGCGAAGACAAATTAGCACAACACCTGTTGTCTCTGAAATATATGACAGCTGCGTTTAGCTACGAGGTCCTGCTCATTTTATAGCTCACAGGAAGGCCTGAAACATACTTCACGCAAGGACGTGAACGCAGATGCTTTGAGCTACGCAGACGTCGTTCAAAAATGTGTGACGATGCATTTCGTAACACGACACAAGCGCAAGCTGCATTCTGAGCGTTACAGCAAGGGGCGCTGTAACTTCAGCCAAGCCTGACCAAGCCGTCTTGCACCGCCAGCTTGCGTCTCAGCAGCAATATGATTAATTATCGCATTTCCTAAGTCATAGCTACTGTATCTAAACCACATCGACAAGTCTGCACGACCTTAGTGAAGGTAAAGAGAGATTTTGGGGGATACATTTACGGAAAAGATTTGAGGGTCTGTTGACTTATGTTATTTATTAGCTTTTAGCTCCAGTGCTAAATTCAAGAAGCTAAATTTGGACACCAGACCTGTCTTGGCTGGTGGACTGTGTTTGGCTTTAGTAGGTAATTGTGTAAATTCCATTCTTCTCCTAACCATTCCTTTAAAGGCAAGCTTGTAATGGCTCCAATATCATGTATACTTTGGTATTCTGAAGTAAATGGAAAAGCAACAGCTGTTCTCCTGCAGTGCCCAGATATCCTTCCGGCGCAGGTGGCGCTATTATCTACACGCACTGGATCCACATGCTGCAACTATCATTGAAACAGATCACTGGCTGAAAGGTGATGGTCTCTGCCTAAGTACACTAAACTTCTCTCTCTTTGTAATCAAAGATCATGCAGTGTTATGGCTAGGAGCAATTTATCATTGTACTCTGAATTAATCTATTATACCCTTAAGGTCACATCTGGTAGGTGACCAAAATCACAGCTTCCAAGCCTAAAATTGTCACCATGGAGCTACTAGACTGAGATGTGTCATTGTAACACTCTTCCCTTAATGTACCGTGCTCGTTACTTTTCAAGCTCCCCTCAAACTCTCCCCAACAGCTATGCATATACATGCACACCTGTGTGTACGCATAGATCTGTGTCTATGTGATCCCTGTAACCTGCATCCTTTTCAACTCGACACCGGAGGTCGCTGTTTAGTTACTTAATATATAAATAGATCTACAAATATATTCAAATTTATGTGCCAAACACGGCTCCTGTTGAGTCCGATTCATTCCAAAACCATCTTTGTACTGTAGGAAACCTTCCATGCGAAACGGTATTAAATATTGTTTCTGATAGTCCCTTGTAACTGGTGCCATGGAAATATTCAAACTTGAAATAAACATTCAAATGTGTTCAAATTTACCTTGTGGTTTGTTTTTCTGAGTATGTCATCTAATAAAGTCTTGTCCCACTAAACAGTGAACTATCTGAGAGAATTAAGTGCATTGATGAAGGTATAAATGGTTGAATATGGATTTACGCTATACTTTGTGCTATTGATTAATTTCAAGTCTTCTGTTAATGTCTTAGATAGAAGGCTACAATATACAACTGAGCCTGTTAATCATTTCACAAAGAAATGGCATAGTTAGGGAAGATTTCACATGCTTAGAGTTGAAACTGTGGTTGTAACTTTTTGTCTATATGTAATGTAACCACTAGTAAATGTATTAAGGTTTCTAAATCATCTAATGATATCAGAGAATAGACAACAATAATTTGGCTCGACAGTTTAATGATAAGTTAAAAGTTTTAAGTACACAATTTGAGACGACGTATGGAAGCAAACTGCTCCCTTACACTGTACAGTATAATACTGAGAATAAATGCAAAAAGTGGGCTGCATATAAACAGGACAACAAATACACAGAAAGCAATTACACAAAGAGAAATTATATACATACTTTACAAATATGTGGACACAGAAAGAAAAAGGTTGGTAGCTGATGGACCTAGCTGAAGTGAGAGAAGGCTGGTTTGAGGAATGGTCGTGCAGCGTTCTGGGGTGTAGGCAGAGCCATGAAGCCTGGTCTTCTCCCTGCTGGAGCTGAAGAAGCAGGCCTAGAGGAGCCTCGGCCCGCTCCCCCGACCTGCACTTTTATATCCTCCTTTAGACGAAGACCAGTTCCCACTGTTCCCACTGCATGAAGAGAATGCATTAGATTTGACTAAGTTCAATTTATTTCGATTGCTTAGGACATTTCACAGAATTTCTAAAGAACAAATCAGTGATTGTGATCATTTTAAGGGCTGATCCACTTGTCAGATTAATTGTTCTTAAACACATTCAGATATTTGGGTTTTTCAATGATAAAAGCGGTCTTTTCCACATTACCTGGGCCACTTCATGACAGCAGACAATTTGACAAGAAATGCTCCGTGTTACCTGCTCTGAAACAAAAACTGACCTTTTAGAGTTTTTGTTGTTGTAACCACGTTGCCTTTTGGGTTTCCTTGAGAAGGATGCCTTCTTCCTTTTCTCTCCTCGGCCTGTGTTGCTCCTGAAATATGCTGAAGAGCCGTCCTCTCCGTCATCATACACATCATCCTCAGGATGGCCACGTGTCGTGTCGATCCACCCTGAGCTCTCACCGTGCTCCTCAGCTTAATGGGGGAAAAAAATAAAGTCAAGCCAAAGACTTTGTTTCAGTTCAAACGTGTTTTTGGTCAAAAAAATAATAAAGGAGCTCTTTGAGGAAAAAAGTATTTCTTAAAAAAGGCTGAAGAAGGGTTAGATGGTAAATAAACCTTAAACCATTAACTTGAAGGTTATAACTGTCCTGCAATTGCAGACAAAGATTTCTGCCACGAGTCATTTAGTTGTGTTACTCAGGCACTCACCAGGCAGCTGCCATTCTGAGTATTTCTGTAACAGTTCGATGAGCTCAGCTCCATATTTCTCCAGCTTGTCCTCAGTCACACCGTCGATCTGTAGCAGCACCTCAGGGTCAGCCGACAGAGTCTCTGCACAGCGCGCAATTCAACACCACACTCAATACAGCAGGAGGTTGACACAAGAGAACGGGCTGAACTTATGGGAAGATTTCAGAAGGCTGCCTATTAGGGATGTGCATGGGTACTCAAGTTAACTGTTAACCATTTGAGGTGCTAACATGTGACTACTGTAATCAGTATTCAGTACTTGTTACATTTCATTTTTTGTGACAGGAAGACAAAAGATTTAATGAAATGCCACTTATGTTTTTAAAGGACAGTACACTAGCTGATGTTAACCAGGTCCAGAAACAGTGGAAATATATTTCTCCGACAAATTCGGCACATCGGTTCATCGCCCACTGAGGACAAAAAACCTCATATAAGACAGAGTCCTCATCAGCATCCAGTGTTGTACCAGTTAATTGCTATTTTAGCTCATGTCTGCAGAGGCAGCCTCCATTACTTTAAGACAAAAGACAAAAACTACAGATAATGGTTTTTTTTTGTTTTTTTTTGAATAATAAAATTAATAATCAAATCCTCCGCTGCTTGCTGTTACACTTCTGTGCTACTGATTTTTTTTGCCTCTTAACACCAGCAGTATCTGCTAAAAGCTTAAGCCTCCAGCTGTATGTTTAGGGTCGTTAAACTGAAATAAAGCAAGTTGAGAAAGCATTTGGAAAACACCTGTAGCTATGCCAGTTAGCGAGGTTGTTCACATTATTTTGAAAAATTTGAATTATAACACGGTGTATGTGGGGTTCAGTAGCTCACCGGCGATCTTTTTCAGGGTGCTTGTAGAGAAGATGTTGTAGTAGTGAAGACCAAACACTTTGCCCAGCTTCTTGCACAGCTCGCGGAGCTCTTCCAGACACTTCTTGACCATCTCCTCCCTCTTGGAAACATTCTTGGTCACAGAGGCTTTATGCTTCCTGATGCTAGAGGCGCTTTCGGTCTCATGGAACTGAACCTGCAATGGAGCACATAACACATCACTCAAAAAGGGTACAAAACACAAAACAAAACAAAAAAAAAGAGCTGAGGAGACCACTAGTACAATGTACATTAGTGCTATATAAAATATAACCACTGCCAAATTTCTTTTTTCTTTTCTTTAATGTGCTTTACTAACATGAAAGTGCACTCTATTTTGATAAAATGTTGCTTTGGTATAGTACAAGTTCCTATAAATAAAATGGTTATTCATGGCAAAGATACTTCTAGAACATTTCCTGAGGTTAGGTAAACAACATCTGTAGTCCCAACCTGCAAGCTGCCACTCAGGACATTCATGGCTTTAGGGCCAGCTGAGATGTAGGCCACGGCCTGACCGTTATTGGTTATGTACAAATCCTCCATCAGGATGTGGTCCAGCACAAGCTTCTTAAATAGCCTGTCTGCGTTGTGCCTGGAGTAAGCTGCTCCAATGCCGTACATGCCTGACTGGACTCGTGCACTTTTAGAGCCTGTGGAGATACTCCTGTTAAGGTCTGCTATGTTCATTCTTAGTGGAATCAAGAAGACTAATTTGTGACCATCTTACCTATGAAGATGTCAACAAGCATGTTCAGAGTAAGTCTGTTTTGCTGTGACGATCTGCCATATCTGCTGCCAACTTTTTCACAGTTTTCCTGCACAAACCGCACAATCTTCTTCACATCCTCGGTCACATTTCTGGCTTGGTATTGCTGGAAAAAACGTAATTTGGACAGACATTAAGCACTTAGCAAGATGCTTCCTTTTTTTTTTTTTAGAAGAGTAAAACAAATGAATAAACTCACAGATGTGGAATACTGCAGAAAACCAGCTTATTTCATCAAATAAAATAAAGATGACTGAATGAGGTTCTTACATGTGGTCTGGCACAATTATCACAGATGACTTCGGGATGCTCATTACAGAAGCCAGAATTGAACTTGTGCTCGCCAAAGTACGCAAGCAGCTGTATCCTTCTACACTCTGCCACATTCTCACAGTAATGCACCATGCTGTGCAGGTTGTTAATGTGAGTGGCTCTGGAATGGTGGTTGCCATCCTTGTCCACTGTAATGACATTACGGAATCTTTATTATAGATGATTGCAAGGTTAATAGTTAAAATATCGCAGGCAAGGATGCATCACAATCAAGGTGAATCTGATATTCTGTTGTCAGTCTTTGGCTGGATTTTAAACTGGTTCGACATGGTAACAAGATGAGTTGAAACATGGACTATTAAAATCCATCATAAGCAATAAATATTGGTGCAATGCTAAAATAACAGTGACAATGAAATTTTAACAAGTGACCCAACAATACGGATAAGTGACATTTTGCACCCCAAGTTTCAGACAGCATAGGTGCAGTTGCTGAAATACTCAAAATAAACCACACAAAATCTTCATTACTTCATTAATCTTCAAATGATCTTTTTCAGCAAACGACAAAAACAAAAAACAACACTAGGTAAAGGGATACATACTGGCAATTAGTCTTTTGATGCGGATGACATCATTGTAGGAGTAGAAGAGGACACAGTGGGATATCTCTCCATCTCGACCAGCTCTCCCTGATTCCTGGTAGTAGCCTTCCACCGACTTGGGCAGACTAGCATGGATCACATACCGCACATCAGGCTTGTCAATGCCCATGCCAAACGCAATTGTGGCACACATGACCTATGAAAGTTGAGGTACAGTAACAAACGTGGTGAGAAAAAAAATATTAAAAAGTACAGCTGTTTAGAACCACATCCACTGATTTAGTAAAACTGACTACCTGTGAAGCATCCTTGAATCTAGTGAGTTTGAGAACCACTGTTAAGAGCAATGCAATAAAAATTCATTTTCAGATTTACAGAGGGTTCCTGATATATAACAGCCAACTGAAATGAGAGCTCATTTTCTACAAAAGTAAAACCACTTCTCTCTCTTGGGCCTGTGACAACATAGTAACTGTTTGTCAACAGATATTAAACCAAAGTGATGCAAAGTGACTGCTTAAAAATGATCAGTAAATAATATTAGCTCTGTGCAAGGCAAATAATACACTATTATAAAATATTCCATTATTCAAAGAAATTCTCTCACCTGGCAGCCATCCTGGTTGATCCATTTGTTTTGGACATACTCTCTGTCACTGTCATTTAGCCCAGCATGGTAAGCCAGTGCTGCTATCCCAGCCCGCTGAAGACTATCCGCCATGGTGTCACAGTCGTTACGTGACAAGCAATACACAATACCAGAGTCACCTATATGTAAAAGACGAAATCCAAATGCCTTTATTAGCAAAATGAGTTAAAATACAGCTTATATTCTTAACACATTATTACAGCACACTCACGTGGATAATGTTTCTTGATCCAGTTAATGCAGTCCTCATCAACTTTCTTAGGTTTTTTAGGCAGTACAGAGTATTTTAGATTGTGTCTGTTGAAGCTCATTGTGAAACTGGGGAGAAAGCATTTAGTGAGTGATAACTTTTGACACCCTGAAATACGCTCAAATGTATGTACTCTATATAACTCAGTTGTGTTACACATTAAAAGCACATAATGAGTGTGACAAACCATGAAGCGACTAAATCTGCAAGCAGAAACAGCACTTGATTTTTCTGAACTCCAAAACGTGTTCCAATAAAAGCTCCACAAAATAATGCTGCTTTGTGAGCGTATCAGGCATGGTCCAACACCAAGACTTACACCTGTGGCCGAGTCATGGCCAGCTGATTCAGGATATCCTTCTGGACTCGAGGTGTGGCAGTGGCTGTCAGTGCCATGACAGGAACCCTGGGAAACTTCTGTCGTAGCTCATGCAACCGCTTATAATCTGGCCTGAAGTCATGTCCCCACTACAAAAGGAAGTTTTTAAAAACAGTTAACTACTGTAAGGTTCAGAAATGTCCCTCTTACTTTTGGCATTGTTTTAACTCTGCTCTCATTTAAGAGCACTTCTGACTGGAAACAGCAAAGACTACAGTTAAAGTGTAGACTGCTAGCACTACTTTAAAATCAACTAATGAATGTGCTTAACTGTACATTATTAATCTTATTGCCACTGCATACCTGGCTGACACAATGGGCCTCATCTATGACAAAACGAGCAAGCAGGCCTCTTTCATACAGGTTCTGCAGAGCACTTATCATCCTCCCACTCGCAGATACCTAGGGGAAATAAATTCATCACCAACTCACAGATATGAATTCCATAAAACTAACTAGCTCCCAATATTTTTTTCATTTAAGTAATATTAGCCATTTTTAAAAATACAAGTTGACCAGCTCAAGAACTAACCTTTTCAGGAGTGGCATAAAGCAGTTTGACGAGAGGATCTTTCTTAGAGAGCTGCAAGTAGATTCTCCCAGCTTCACTATCACTTTTATCCCCAGACAAGCTGGTGGCAGGGATCTGAAAATGGAGAAGAAGCAAAACTGTCATATTATATAATCAATATTATATACACAGATCAATCTGAAGAAGCTGAAGGCATATTTTAAGCAGTTATCTTAAGGGAGAACCTTACATCTAATGTGGTGAGTTTCTGGACCTGATCCACAATAAGCGAACGTAGTGGAGAAATCACCACAGTCACCCCAGCAGACACACAGGCAGGCAGCTGATAACAGAGACTTTTACCCCCTCCTGCAAAAGAGTTTCCATTTGGTTTGCAATAAGTAACACAATACGTAATTTTTTGTTTTGTTTTTTTCATATGTCATATGTGAGTCCTTGCAACCATCAGTTGACTGGATGCAAACACAAATATTAATTTGGAGCTGCCAGAATTAGCCATATTATCCTTTGAATATTCATAATGTTAACAGATAACATTAATTAACAGATGCTGTATTCACCCCCCTCAAGTCAGTGTTTTGTAGATACACCTTTGGCAGCAGTCTCAGGCTTGAGTCTGTGTGGATATACCCCTGTCAGCTTTGCACATTTGGGCACAAATTATTTTTTCATTCCTCTTTTGGCTTACACCAAACATGGTGTTTAGTCTGATGGCCAGAAAGCTCAATTTCAGTTTCATCAGAACAACTCACTTCAGGGTCTTCCACATGCCTTTTGCCAAACTGTAGCTGAGAGGTCATGAAAGTTTTACTTAACAGTGGCTTTCTTTTTGCCACTCTGCAACAGTTGTTGTTTGCACAGTTTCTCCAAACTGACAGTCACTGAAGCTTCTAACTCTTTCAGAGCTCTTACAGGTCTCTTGATGGCCTCTCACACTAGTCTCCTTCTTGCAGGGTCACTCAGTTTTTGTAGACAACCCTGCTCTTGGCAGGTTTTCTTTCAGTTTCTTAAGTAATTGATTTATCTGAACTCCAAGGGATATTCAGTGACTTGGAAATGCACACAGATGCTCTCCTTTCCACTAATTATGTGACTTTCAGCACCAATTAACTGCACCAAGAGAGTCAATTTGAGGGGGGGGTGAATCCTTAAGCAGGCAGATACTTTGTGTTTTACATCTGTAATTAATTTACTTATCTTTCATTTTGTGTTACTGAGTTGCTGTGCAATCAGTGTAAAATTGATAGCCAACAAGGTGTTCATGAAATACTTTTAAGGGCTGTAAATAGAGGTAAACAGGCCACCACAGAATCTTGTCAGATGCCAAACTGCGCTCAATTAGGTTCAGAAAACTCCTCTTTTGCCCTAATCTAAATAAAGCAACGCTATCTCTCTTTTAAACCATTTTAAAGCTTGTTCATTAAAACATTATGGTCTATAGTACCCTATTACTACAGTAAATGCTGCACTCAAATCCAACAGTACCAGAAGCAAGACATTTCTATAGTCTGTGGCAATCAGTAAGTCAGTGGCCACAGCAGTACTATAATGTTTGCAAAATCATCTGTGCTTGGTATCGTTCCTTAAAAAAAAAAAATTAAAAAAAAAGGAGGTTGAGCAACAACTTTTTCCAAAATCTAGATCTAGAAAACAAGCATACCTGTAGGCATCAGGACAAATGTATCTTCTCCCAACAGTGCAGCATTGATGGCTTCTAGCTGATTGAAACGGAACTGATGAAGACCAAACCTCTTGTGGAATATCTTCATCATCTCCGGAGAATGAGGAAAGTTAAAGCCCCTAAAGCGGTCATGCGCTGGATTCCTAACTGTAACTTCTGTAGAGACATTAGATTCCATCAATACTAAACAAATACAACAAAAATCTATGATCAGAATGGAGGACAGAGAAAAAATTAAATAAAATAAACTGCATACATAACAGAACCACTGACCAGGGGAAGCTGGCTTAGTAGGTTTTACAACTGCTGTGGGGGTAGTGACAGTCTTTTTCTCGCAAGACTTAGAGGGTCCACCTTCACGAACTGGTTGTGGGAGGGTACTGGAACTCCTCTTTGAAGCTGATGAATCCACAGGTTCCTCATAGTAATCTGGGATATCACTCTCATTTAAATCATCAATGTCAAAGTCATCAATGTCAAAGTCATCTGGCTCTGTGCTCGCTCTTAAATCAACACAACCAGATGCTGCTGTGCTGTTTCCAGCTTTACTCTCTGTATTCTTTCTGCTGGCCTCCACTGGTTTCTTCAGTGAGAAGAAAAGTTCAGTCTGCTTAAGATCCACAGTCTGATCATTTGGCTGATTTAAGAGAAGCCTCGAAGTACTCTCTCCTGACTTGCCATTACTCCAGTTCAGGCTTAAGTTATTTCCCCTGCTCTCCACTGACAGCAGATTTGAGGAAAGGGTTCCAGGAGCCTCCTGGTGTTTCCACACCATTAATAATGCAGTCTGAGTCTTCAAAGACACTGTTGTTAAAGTCCACAGACATCGTAGAGGCAAGGGACTTTCGGAACTGAAAGCCTTTAGAATTGTCTTCTTTGAATGAGGTCAAAGGAGTCGTGACTCCAAAACTTGTTCTCTGAAGCAATCTGGGCTCAGGGGTTGCTCTGTCTGACAGGTGCTTCCCTGATGATGCCATGTCAGCAAGAATCCTTTTCCTGTGGAACCATAATATTTACATGATGCACAAATAGCAGTTACATAATCAATTCAATTGTTTTACGCTTAATCAATGCTCCTTATTTACCTGTGAGCTCTCTGTAAAAGCAGATCTGTGCCACAAGTCAGGGCTATGAGCTCATGCTCAGGGATGGCATCCACTAGACAACAGATAGACTCCATGACACTGAAGAGAGCATCATCAGGCCCTACAAAGGTCAACAATCGTAATCAGATACATGATGGGTGAAAAGAGGTTGAAATGTCTACATGCAGAAGTACAAATAAATTAAACAACAAGGTCATACCTTTTGAATCTTTGGCAGGAATATCCTGTTCTGGAAAGCTTGAAATAGAGCCTCTTGGTGAAGCAACATTTACTTCAGCATTTTTGACAAGGTCAGATTTTCTAAAGTGAGAGATCAATAATGCTCATTCAGTTCCTACTTTTCAATAGCAGAGCCCAATCTCACATTACAATTCATATTTAGTCATTTTTTTAAAAGAAGCTTCTAAAAGGACTTAATTTTAATTCCAAAAAAAGGGAACTTAGCCTAACCCAAAAGGTGCAAGATCAATCTTAACAAGTAGGAATATTCTTTTTATTTCACATTAGAAACAAAAGGTGTTGCTACCTTTTCACCAGAATTGAAACAGGTGGGCTCCTTTCTTCAGGCGAGGGCGGAATAAAATCCAAGTCATCCTCCAGCATATCCTGAGTCTGACTGTCATCTATATCTATGATTTCTGGATCGATGTATTTATGTTCAATGTCTGTAAAACAAAAGCCAGAAATAAAGAAAAAACTAAAAAAGATTAACTGAATTACAAATCAATTCTTATCTTTTAGAAATAAGGGCATATAAGCAACATCACAGAAGTAAAAAGAAAGATGCTGACCTGTTGAATGCTTCACATTCCCATCAGCTTTATCTTTAGGTTTAATAATGTCAGCGATGCTCTCATCCTCACTGTCACTTAGCAGTGGCTTGTGTTGAACCCCAGGTGAACGACGTTTAGTTGGCTTGATGGGTGAATCATCTGGCTCCCCAGCTTTATGTCCAGATAGGGCATCATGTTTATCAGCACCAGAGGTCTCTGCTGTAATCTCCGAAGCTTCTCCAGAAACACCAAAAGACGGTCCTACAGGCAAACTTCCATTCTCTGTTGTGTCAGCAATCTTAGCACTAGCAACTATAGGCGATATATCCTTGTCTGTTCCTGGTGGTTTTTTCACTGGAATCTGGGGGCTTTGTGATAATGCTTTTCCCTTTACTGGAGTTTCAAAATCATCAAAGTCATCCCAGTCATCGACAGGAATGGTAAAAGAGTTGTGACAGCCCAATGTTTTTACAACTTTATCGTCATTAGCATCTGCAGGGGTGTTGTCTGGTTTTACTGAAGCCTCAGTGACAGACTGAATAGGGGTGGATTTCCCCACTGCAAATGGGTTTGCTAATGGGTTGATGGTCTGTGGCTTGGTTTTGCTGGGTGCAGTGGAGAAGTTGAATTTTGGAGGTGCTCTTTCAGGCTTGTTTGGAAATGTCAGAGGAGGTTTTGTTACTTTACAGCTGCCAGGAACATTGACACTCCGGTTTGCTAGAACATTTGCACCAATTACCTTTTGGGGAACTTCAGCTTTGCTAACACCTGACGTAGACTTCTTTTTGAAGCAAAAGGCCCTGGAGGAGAAGGGGAGTTACTATAAATAAGTAATTCTGAGCATCTAAGATTAAATACAAAACGGATTAACTTAGTAAATGTTCATGACTAAAATGAAACAGGAAAATTCAAACCCATCAAAATTTTGCTTGAGTACAGGTATGTTAACCAACTACATGTTACTTCCCCTTAGTCAGCCTAAGAAGCATTTCTGTTATGACCCACCGTTACAGTAGAAGAACACAGGCCAGTGGAAACTTACCCAGGCTTTGGTTTGGTCAGGGACAGCTTGTTCTGAGCGGCACTAACTTTGGTGTGCCGCTCGAGTTGCTCTTTTAAGTTGTTTTGAGGGAGAGTGAGCATTGCGCGAACAGTAAACAAACATGCGTACAAACAAACTAGTTAGCTAACCTAGCTAACTTACGATGCTCACCAAATAACACAAGGTACAAATTAAACAAAAGTAAAACTTGGTCAGACAGCTATATAACTAACTATTCAATATCTAATGACATCTGCAGCTCACAGTAAGCTAGCTAACCTAGTCAGAGAGGTGCAAGGAGACTCACAGAATACCCGCGCTTCACTTTGTTAGCTAGCTTGCTAAGCGGCTTATCACCACTCTCTCCGCTGTACGCGGTATCTTGGTACTGCAAACGCAGACACTACAGAAACCGATCTGTAATACCGTGTACTGAAGAAAACTGAGTTTCTTTTAATTACGCATAAAAGAAAAATAAGCGTTCTTGCAAAAAAAAAACAACCTCGTACTACCAGTAAGCTAAAGGCTAAAGCTAAAGTTATATTTGCCGCTCTCCATGCCGCGGGTGCGCTACTCGCCCTCTGATTGGTGCATTACAATTCGACGCGTTTCCGCCTTTTCCTGATTGGTTCTCGCCTTGTAGCTGCGTCAGAGCCGTTTCTCTACAATTTCTCTGGCTGCGTCCCGAATCATGTACTGCATACTACACACTTATTAGTACACACTTCTGTCCGTGTCAGTGCAGGAGTCAAATCATACATACCCGTCCTGATTTTACTTCCTTTCCGACCATCTTTTCGCAATTCTTTTGGAAGAATCATACATGTAATTTCCTCTATTTTGTGAAGGATGATTCTTTTTCTCGAAATTTCAGCGTAATTCAACCGTTGGGATGTAAACAAAGCACTTTAAAGTGGTTTGATGTGAAATTGTGCATTGTAGAAAAACTTTGTAACTCAGATTTCTCCACAACGGAAAAATGACCAGTAAACCTACACATCTTCCGAGTTTTTTATGTAAAAAAGTAAATGGCAAAAGTGGTAAAAATCTGAAAAATACTGGGTATTATTTTTCATTACGTCCATGTACCTCTCCACTATGAATGGATTTTTCTGTTTAACGGCAAAAGCTTGTCATATAACCATGTAATGGTTTCCTGTCAGGTAGGAGACATTTATAGAGCTAAACAGTGACCCATTTTTTCAGCAGCTCTGGTTCCAGAAGTAAAAATCCCATTAATTTTCTCCATAGACATTTCGAAAATTCCTTAAATAAAAGTTCCAACCACTCAACCGAACCAGTTAGCTACCAGATAAATCATGACGCTATAGAAGATGTGAAAAACGAAAAAGGGCAAAACCACAAGACTGTGTTCTTAACGTGTTTAATGTCGGAATGAACAACATATCCCACAAAGCATTGCGAATAGTTTCAACCAATAGTTTCTTAGCAGTGATTGTACAGTGAACCTTACGAAAGAAGGATCTGTCTTTGCCTTAATTAAAACTATATTAATTCTGATATGGCCTATAACTTATTGTTTTACTTATGGAAGTGGCTCCAAAGAAGTAATCACTGAAAGGGAACCTGAAGGGCGGAGAAAATTTGATGCTGCATTAACGTGTGAAGGGGATTTCTGTCATTCATTAGCATTTAACATTACACTCTTTATCTGTGTGATTTTGCATGGGAGCCTACTGTTAGATCAGAGTGTAAGAGAGCGAGAGTTTTTTTTGTGATTTTATATAAATTTGTTTTATTTTATTTCCAACTTTTCTTTCATAACATCCCTTTTTAGATATCAGTGAAATATTTTAGATATCGCGAAATATTTCCTTCTTTGTGTAAGCTTGTAATTTTAATATTACATGAATGTGTATCCAGGGCATTCTTGTCACACACACACACACACACACACACACGCACACACACACACTACATTCCAGTACATGGCCAGACTCTGATTTTCAGCCCTTCCGAACTCTATTCTTCTCATCACAACAATTCTGACTCAATAAGTATATCTAGAACGGTGCATCTCACATCAAACCACTCATCCATTCTCCTGAAATGATGAGATTGAATAGTCCAGTATTAGCACATTTTGAATGGATGTAGTACAGTGTCTAAGTCGTTTTTCTACTATGTGATGAATACTAGTGTCACACAAACTAATCTTTCCTAAATAGCAATATGGAAATTTGAGGGAGTTTTCAGCATTCAGCTCTATTCATCATTCTGGACACATCTGAAATTTCTTCATATTTATTTAAACCTTCTTAGGGTCCTACTAATTTTAGAAAACCTGTATAGCTGTACAGCACTAGCATCATATAATTAGTGTATACATTTATTTGCAACCAAACAGGTTTTATATTGTATTGTTCACTTCTATCAAAAGATTGTAGTTTTCTGTGATTTTGCCTGCCGGTCCCGTGTCCACCAGTGCAGTGCATGGAACCCCTCCAATGTTGGTGGAAATGTGTCAGAAGTCTGATATTGATATTCACCCCACCACAGCCACTGTAGGTTTGTAGCCTATGCTGTCCTTCTTGGCTAGGCCAGCCTTCTTCCCGCTGACCACCCCCAATGGACAAGCCCTAGTCAGATACCCAGCTGACCACATGTGCAGCACTGGCAGCCCTGTGCCACTGGCTGTATGGCTTGGCCTTGTGAACAAGCCCTGGCCAGATGTCCCAGCCAGTTGGCAGAAACTGCAGTCCACGCGACCTCTCTTCCCAGTACCAACTCCAGGGCCTTCGGCAAGTTGCATGAGTGGGCCAGCTGTGTCTGGACGCATAGCTCAGTTGGAGACAGTGCCATGATGAGCTGGTCCCAGGCTATCTTGCTCTGTACACAAGGTGGCACATGAGCATAGGCCCGTCTAGCTAATGTTTCAATATCATTATCCAGGGTGATTATGAATGGTTCCCCTGCCTTGCCGGTCTTTAGCAGTTACACAGTTTAAACAGATGGAGCCTCTAGAGCGTCCCAACCAATGCACTGTAATCAGATCTCTCACTAGGGTCTAGCATTAGCAGGCAAGCTAAAGCAACATCAGTCAAACAAAGTGTCAGCTGCAGGGCTTTCTGTTCATCGGACCACTCCCACGATTTGGCTACCAGGTCAAATGGTGCATGGAAAGCTTCCCAGTTCGCTTTATTGGAGTATTTTAAGAGTCTTACTGTTTACTGCTAAACACCACTATCTCTGCACCATCTGCACAGAGATTTTCCACTGATGTCACAGTAGTTGGAACAGTTGGGAATAATGGTGGCTAGCCTCTGAGCTAGCTGGCACTTCCAAGCGTGGGCACCATCCGGGATCCTCCATCACCACCACTGCTCTCTCATGGCTCTCCCAGGTGGTACCGCTTACCCCCTGTGGCTGTGGTACTCTTAAAGATGCAAATTCACTGTTGTTCTCTTCTACTGTTATACCAACAGAGCACTCCTTCCCTTCTCTGAGTTATGTAGCTTAGCTCTACTAAAAAGATAAGTGTGATTTTATATTGATATGCTTTCAATGAAAGACGTTTTTTGTTGTCTCTCTATAAGCACGTCATTCTAATATGACCTTCCGTAAGAAATAGCTGTCATGTATGGAAGTCATGGAAAATGTCCTAGAAAAGTAATAGAAAATGATTTACTATAAAGAATGGGAATCCTGATTAACCAAGTAAAGCACATTTCATTACCAATTCATTTTAATTAAATTCTTTTGGTAACAGCAGCTACACTGCCTTGGTGTTTGTCGCATCTTGCATTTCTGAGCTTTAGCATTTTATTTTAATTCATGCTACATTTCCCACCTCTATTTCAATTACTGATAAACTCAGTCAAAATCAGGCTGACATTAAAAACCTCTTTATTGAGCTCTGATTGCTATCATCTTTCAACTAGCTTTGACCTCAGAACACAAAGGATAAAAAAAGAAGTTTTTTTGGCAGTTGCTCTTAAGCAAAGGCAAAGTTTTAGTTTCAACAATGGTCTTAACATACTAATAAGCCCCTAAAGTGCCATTTTCAAAAAAAAAAAATTCACCTTCCTGTGTATCAACAGATGCAATTGATGCATTTCTCAGTGTATTGTTACCCCTCTTGTTACTACTGTTTTAATCTAAAATATTAATTTCTCATTGGCACTTTATCAGTGTCCTGGTTTAGATGTCACCTTTGGCTATAAAGCCATAATCTGTGTAGCCTTGTGCCAACATTCAATTTGCAGAAGAATGTTTAACTGTTCTTATGTTTATTTTATGAGCAGTCTTACAACAATCATATGACAAACACAACAGTCACAGATGGCTTTAAACATCCCCTGAGAAAAAAAAATCATTAGGTAAAAATCATTAAAAAGTATTCTGTCAGTATATTCTCATAAAAGGTGATCTTTTAAAAAAATTCACAAGCAGCAATCTGCTGATATTACTGACTGATTCAAATACTGTAGTTCCCAATAGTATGAGCTACTGTATGTTGTAGCTTTTCACATTTGCTGTGCAAAATATATTTCACATGATCATCCCTTTCCAAGTAAAACATTAATGTGGCTTAATCATTTACACCAGAGGATATGATGAGCAAGCAGCAAGGCCACACATGTTCTTTCCCCGCTCAATGTAGAAATATCTGCATAGAAGAAAATGTTGTGATATTTTAATATGTTCCCAATGTACAAATGCAAATGATTAAAGCAACGCTGTATTCACATAGAAATTTATATTTTGGCCATCTCAAGCCTGCATATGATGAATTTTGTTGAATGAGACAAACATACCCATCTATTCCCCAACTGGTTCCCCAAGAGTTCTTCACTATCCAATAGGGGGTGCCATTCTCCTCCGCATAACCCACAGCCAACACTGCATGGTTCACTTTGTCTGTAGTGTTGTGACACTCAGTGCTAAGAAATGTCAATGCACACTATTAGTGAAGGTGATACTTCTCTCAACAACAATCATTATTACACTTCAAAATTTATAAAAGGAATATTATCGTGGCCAAAATTTGTAGCTACAACAGTTAGGCAGTAGAGCCTGGAGTATTTGTCCAAACCACACAGTGTTCAACTGCCAAAGTTGGGTTTGGTCAGGCTTGGACACCATTTC